AATAACTAGGGCTAATTGTAACGGGGACCGTTACAGATGTTCCCCAAACGCTCCCCAACTCCCTTTTGGTGTCATATTCCATGTAAGCCTCATTAAATAAGACAAACTCTTCGTACTTTTGTCTTTAACAACGTTTTCCAAGAAGTATACCAAGTATCTTTAAATTTTAGCTTTGCACGCGTGCGCATGTGAATGCATGTGCGTAATCATGGTAATGACCATATCTACTTGTCTACACTATCTATATATTTTAATATGCTAAATATTATAGCATTTAATTCAAAAGTTTTTAAAAAATACGCTAATTCAAGTGTATTTTTAAATTTACTCATTTCACGTGCACGCAAGTGCATGCATGTGCATGATGACCATACCTTCTTGTAAGGATCCATTATGTCTATCTATGTTCTAAATCCCATCCTGTTTGGTTGATAACCAAAGGAGTTATAGCCATTTAAAGTTTCAGCCAATCAGATTGCAGCACATGTGCATGCGCATGCTTTTATGATAATCCTTATATATCATGCTGTAGATCTTTATAGTGTATGACTATGTTCAAAATTTCAAAGGATTTTGTCAAAAAACAAGAAAGATATTGAGACTTTAGTTTCAGCCAATCAGAGCGAAGCGCACGTGCATGCGCGCAAGATCTTGCTATTTTGACCATGTCAGCATGTCTATACAACTAATATATCTTCTTATTATATGTTTCAAATCATTTCATCAACAAATAGAAAAGTTACGGCTATATCTATTATATTGGTCATTTCACGTGTTGCACGTGCGCGCTCTTGCAAGCACGTGCGCGCAAAATGACCTTGATTCCGCAAATCTACATAACATGTCTACTGACCCTAAAAAGGTTTTACCTACATCGGATGAACAGTTTACAAGATCACTCCCGGACAAAAAAGTACCCAGGAAGAAGAAGAAAAATAATAATAATAATAAGAAACAGAGTAAAAACAATATGTTCCCCAACTTCGTTTGGGGAACATAACTAGTGCTAATTGTAACGGGAACCGTTACAGATGTTCCCCAAACGCTCCCCAACTTCATTTTGGTGCCATATTCCCTGTAAATGTCATTAAATAAGACAAACTCTGTGCATTTTTGACTTTAACAACGTTTACCGAGAAGGATACCAATTACCAAAGGATACCAATTATATTCAAACTGTAGCAATGCACCCGTGCGCATGTGAATGCATGTGCGTTATGACCATATCATCTTGTCTACACTATCTATATATTTTAATATACTATATATTAAAGCATTCAGTCCAAAAGTGTTAAAAATTACTCATTCAAGTGTATTTTTAGTTCCAAATGCATGCACGTGCGTGCACGTGCATGATGGTCATACCTTCTTTTAGGAGTCCCTTATATCTATCTATGTTCTAAATCTCATCCTGTTTGGTTGAAAAACAAGGGAGTTATAGCCATTTCAAGTTTCAGCCAATCAGATTGCAGCACACGTGCATGCGCGTGATTTCATGAATTTTTTCTACATCATATTGTAGGATATCCTAATGCATGTCTATGCTTTAAATTTCAAAGCATTTCGTCAAAAAACAAGGGAGATATAGCCATTTAAAGTTTCAGCCAATCAGATTGCAGCACGCGCGCATGCACATGCTTTCACAAAAATTTTAATTTATCAGGCTGTAGATCTTCATAATGTAGGACTATGTTCAAAATTTCAAAGGATTATGACAAAAAACAAGAAAGATATTGAGACTTTAGTTTCAGCCAATCAGAGCGAAGCGCACGTGCATGTGCGTGAGATCTTGCTATTTTGACCATGTCATCTTGTCTATACTACTAATGTATCCTTACATTATGAGTTTCAAAAAAATTCATCAAGAAATAGAAATGTTATGGCATCATCAATAATATTGGTTATTTCATATGTTGCACGTGCGCGCTCTTTCCAGCACATGTGCATGTACGTGCTTTCATGAAAATTCTTATACATCAGGCTGTAGACCTTTATAAGGTGTGACTAAGTTCAAAATTTCAAAGGATTATGACTTAAAACAAGAAAGATATTGAGACTTTAGTTTCAGCCAATCAGAGCGAAGCGCACGTGCATGCGCGTGAGATCTTGCTATTTTGACCATGTCATCTTGTCTACACTACTAATATATCCTTACATTATGAGTTTTAAGAATTTTCATCAAAAAATAGAAAAGTTACGGCAATCTCCATTATATTGGTCATTTCACGTGTTGCACGTGCGCGCTCTTGCAAGCACGTGCGCGCAAAATGACCTTCGTTTGGCAACTCTACATAACATGCCTACTGACCCTAAAAAGGTTTCACCTAAGTCAGATGTGTTGTTTACAAGATCACTCGTGGACAAAATTTTCCCAGGAAGAAGAAAAATAATAATAATAATAATAATAATAATAATAATAATAAGAAACAGAGTAAAAACAATATGTTCCCCAACTTCGTTTGGGGAACATAATAATAAGAAACAGAGTAAAAACAATATGTTCCCAAACTCCGTTTGGGGAACATAATAAGAAACCGAGTAAAAACAATATGTTCCCAAACTCCGTTTGGGGAACATAATAATCATATTTCAACAGATATGATTCATATTGAGAAATGCACAATTTTAACTTGCTATGTGGGTTAAATTTCAAAGACATGAAATGTACTACAAAGAAATAATAATTATTAATTATATAAAGAGTAATCTCTCTTATCAGACGGTCAGTTAACCTTAATATCTCTGTTAAAGACATTTTTCCTGAAAGAGCTCCAATATTGTGACATTATTCATGTAGAGTAACCTGCCTTTAGTCTAAAATTCTGCAGTCCAACAATCAATTTGTAATCAATTCAAGCAGTCTCAACACTTTCTGAGGCCATAATACATTTTATATGACATGATTAATGAAGTTGATAAACAGTTCATTTATAAGAACCAACTATAAAATGATCATGGATATAAAAAATAAATTATATTGTAAGGCAATGTTATGTATATCAATTATTCCCTACAAGTACTAGTGCTTGCATTTTAGTACATAAACAAAACCATCATCAATGCCACTAAAATAGTAAATATTTTTATACGCCCGTCTTAAGACGGGACGTATTATGTTATAGGCTTCTTGTCCGTCCGTCTGTCCGTCTGTTAGCTTTTCTTGTGTCCGGCTCATAACTTTAATACTATAAGGCCTAGAGTTATCAAACTTTGTCAGCTGATACATCTTGGGTAGAAGGTGTGTCGCGCACAAAAAGTAGGTCGCTCTGACCTATAATTAAAAAGTTATAGCCAAATATGGAAAAATCCTGTCCGGTCCATAACTAGAAAACTATTAGACTTAGGATCATCAAACTTGGCCAGTTTATGCATCTTAGGTAGAAGGTGTGTCGCGACCTATTTCAAGGTCACTGTGACCTTTAATTTAAGTGGAATTTAAAAAAAAAGATGTCTTTTTTTCTATTCATTTACACATTCAAAAAAATGTAAAACTATTGCACTAACCTTATTAGAAAAATGTTAAATCAAGAAAATACTTATTGTTTTTAGCATATACTTGACAGCAATCTATAACAAATATAATGTATGTTAGAGAAATTCCACCACTCCCATGAGTCTAATTATCAAGCACTGGTCAAGAAAAATTTTGATAACAGAAAATTGCATGTCAAATTAGAGAGAGAAATTAATGAGTTTAGTGTGAGGAGTAGCTGTAAGAGCATCGGTGCTATCTATATCCCTTGAGTATTGGGCCAAATGGGTAAGCCTGTTGGATTAAAAATAGCTTCAGTTGTCTAGCCGAAGTTTTAAAATGAATTTGATGAGAAGAATTAAAACTAATTTGATATTGCAAATTAAACTATTTTGATATTACATAATATTATGAACTTAAAAATTAATTTTATGGGGGTAGGGGTGGAATCTGCATGCCCATATGAATTGCATATTAACAATTAACTGTCTGACATTAAATCTAAAAAAAAAATCATTGATGTTTTGTATGTTTTAAAAATGTTTTATGGTAGATAGTGCAGATCCAATAATCTTTCGGGAGTAATGAGTAGACAAGCATCCAGTTAAAGATTAATTAATGTGTTCAATGTAGGAAGGCTAGCTGCATGTCTCTTTCATTTCTTCAGAGCATGGTCTTATGGGAATTAGACAGAGGAACTGTTGGTCAGTTTATATTTGATGGCCAGCCTTTTATTTCCAAAGTTAATTAGGTATTGATTAAGTTGTGTAATTTGATATTGTTTAATATGATAGGCATTTGGCAAGGTATAGAAATCTATGAATGGTGCAATATTTGTTATAATTAATGCATACACCACAGGAGATGGATAAACAAATTTTTTTAAGGTGTGTAAAAATCATTGAAATCTTAAAATCAAGGTTGACATGATTTTCCTGCACTTTTAACTGTTTAAGATACATTGTAATTGTAATTTTTTGACGGGCGTATCATGCTGTGGCGTGGCACTTTATTAAATCAAGCTTTACAATGTAAAGCATTCTTTAGTTACCTATTTCATGAAAATAACTCAGGTTTGATATCTTGAAATGAGAAATATGACAAGAATATAAAACACTAGAAGAGCATTTTAAATGCTTAAGATAATTTTCCTTTTGGAAAATTTAGTTCAGGAACTATTTCCAAGTTTTTAGGAAATATGTACTAAGCATATACAGTGAAACTCGGTTATAACGAAGTCACTTGGACCTATGAAATTATTTTGCTATATTAGTAATTTGATGCATCCATATAAGGAATTCATTAAATTTATATAGCTAGGGATACAAGATAACTTCGCTATATCCATGATTTTGCAATATCAGTGTTTGTAATTAACAAGTTCTACTGTGCAAGTAAATAACTATAGATGAACCGGTCACTTAAAAATTTAGACATCGATTGAAAAAGTAAAATAATTGTCTTGCTTTCTAATGTCAATTTTATTGGACCTAATTGACAATTTTGCTGACACCTTGATATTTTACAGGAAGAGTTGTACCTACAGAGGGTAGGGGAACTAGACAAGATAACAGAACTCAGGGACCATCAAAGAAAGTACTTTGAGGAGCTACGTAAGCAGAGGCTGGATGAATTCATGGCAGGATTCTCGGTCATCACCAACAAACTCAAGGAGATGTACCAGATGATCACACTCGGGGGAGACGCCGAGCTGGAGCTCGTGGACTCACTCGATCCTTTCTCAGAGGGAATTGTGTTCAGGTAAGCTATGTACCAATCTATTTCACAAAAGTTAATTAGGGGCTTCGTAAGAAACTAAAGCACAGTTATCAGAAATGTGTAAGAAACAAGATAGAAAAAGTAAGGGGGACATTTCAAAATTGTGTAAGTTTTATTTACTCATAAATGTAATGCAGGTAGCTTTTGTTTCAGTGTTCGTCCTCCTAAGAAGTCGTGGAAGAACATCTCTAACCTGTCGGGGGGAGAGAAGACCCTGAGTTCCTTGGCCCTGGTGTTCGCCCTCCATCACTATAAACCCACCCCCCTGTACGTCATGGACGAGATTGATGCTGCCCTTGACTTCAAAAACGTATCCATCGTCGCTAATTATATCAAGGTACACTATCGGTATTGTTACGTTTCAGTATAGTTCCATGATAGTTAATTTAAAGATACAAGTGTTTATTATGGAAAGGTTGTTTATCAATTAGAATGATGAAATTGAATATTCTGAGAGAAAAAAAAGTTTTAGGAAGTTTGGAACATTTTTAGATGTTAGATGACCTTTTGAAAGTTTAAGCTTAATCAATGCTATAAAATTGAAATGATGTGCAAAACTCATGCACAATTGCCAACAATTAGTTTAAAATTCTTGGTGTTTTAGTCATATCTTTAAATTGAGCATTGATGTTTTTTTTTTTAGGAGAGGACAAGGAATGCCCAGTTTATAATTATCTCCCTGAGAAACAACATGTTTGAGTTGGCCGACAGACTGGTGGGAATATACAAGACGGACAATTGTACCAAGTCTGTGACTGTCAACCCAAATAACCTGGTTCTGCCCCTCCAGGAGGTGAACGCCAATGGCTGAGGGGCAGATTCTTCTCTGTGGGGGTCGATCAACAGGGGCCCCTGTCAGTGGTGACAATAAGACATTGGTCTCAAGAGACTAGATTGCAAGATAGAAAGCATATATCTTGTAAAGAAGTTACTTTTCCTGGCGGTGGAATGGAAAAAATAAATAATAGATAAGCAGATGTACATAAGATCATTTTTAACAAAATAAGCTGAACTGAGATTTTTATAAGAACCACTGTTCCCTCCATTTACCACAAATGTGTTCATCATTGATTTTGCATACATTTTTAGCACCAAGACTATAATATATATTCTTAATTAGGGCCCCGCAAGGATTTGCGGGTGCCCTATAGTAATCACTCTGTCTGTCCGTCCGTCTGTCTGTCTGTCTGTCCGTCTGTCACTCTTCCGTCCACAAATTTTCTGTTTTTTCTAATAACTTTTTTTATGGGTGCCCAATCAAGTTTAAATTTGGTATGGTAGTTTAATAGGCAGAAAGACATATTTTGATGCTAAGTTTGATTCTGTATGTCTTTTAGTTTGGAGCTGGGGTGGTGGGGTAGATTCCTAAACTCTGCATAAGAATTTAAAACTTTTTTTATGGTTGCCCAATTAGATCAAATTTGGTATATTCAGTAGGCAAAAATACATATTTTAATGCTAAGTTTGGTTCTCTATGTCCCTTGGTTTGGAGCTGGGGTGGTGGGGTAGATTCCTTAACTTTATATAAGAATGCATTGGCAAAGAGAGATAACTGCTGAAGATGTTCCCATTCAGTAAACTGAATGCTGCTAGGATCGAGTCCCATGAGATTAATTAGCTTTCCTCCTGAAGAAAATCCAGAGCATTATCTTTATCTGTCACATTGAGATTAATTACCACCTCTGTCTGCAAATGAAGTTTGTTTTGAAGTTAAATCAATTTGGAATGCTATGAAATACTCTGAAATGTGGATTTAAATATAAATTTTTATTATTTATTTTTGTTTGATAGTTATGATTTCATTGAATCCTAAAAAAATAAATATATTAAAGAAGATTTTTTGATTTACCAGGGTACTTTTTTTTCCCCTTTTTTCCTTTTTTTTTTAAAATATATATTAATTCAAGAATGTTTTTAATTTTTAATGTAGTTGTATAAAAACCCCATTCTATCATTAATACTGAAAAAAAGTTCTTATTGTAACTTTAGAAGAAAATGATGAGAGAGGTACAATTAATCCCTTGGGATTAATTATCTAGCCTGCTGCAGAAAATTTAGTAGGCTTCTCTTTATCTGTCACTTTAAGATTAATGAAAACCTTTGTCTGCAACTGCTGTTTGTTTGAAGTTAAGGTCAAGCCTTCATCATATTTGCATTCATTGAAGGCTGGTATTTAATATAACACAAGATTCATAATTGTTTAAATATAAATTCAATGTTAAGTTGTTCTTTACTGCCTAATGTAAATACAAGAATATTATTTTCAGATTTTTGAATATTCAGGAATTATGTTGAAATTTTAAGAATACAGTTGCTGTTGCTTTTTCTTTGTACATTTATTAATCATTCTGTAAGCTGCACCCTTTTAATTCTACCCCATGGCGGGGCCCTTGCTGACTGGTCAGTTTTCTAGTTAAATTGTACAAAATAGTCTGAGACCCGGATGTAAAAGTCAGAAAATTTATATTTGATTGTAACTATTTTTTGTTTTCCTTTAAATGTCATTTCACACTTTTCTCTCGTCTTCTGATTTCCTTCAATCTGGTCTTTTTCTTTGCAGATCCTTTTTTAAACCATTATTTATTTTCAATATAGTCTTTATTCATCACAATAAAAGAAATGAAAATTTAAGATTTTTTGCTTATGACTGATGTTAGAAGCAATGTCTAGATCTTAATAAAGGGCCAAAACTTTGCTTGGACACATTTTATGACAACTTGCATTTGTGTAAAAATTCTGAAGCTTAAAAGTAGAGAATACTTTAGAATATGATACACTTCAATTAAGTTCAAATAAAAAAGGATAGATATCCAGAGCAAAGAATGTTTCAAGGTCACTTCATCCTAATTGTCTCAAAATGAGATTGCAGTGGAATAATTGACTCAAAATGAGATTGCAGTGGAAAGCTTGGTGCTCTGCAGAATGCAAAGCCTAGCATCATCAGTTATTACAGACTTCATGTTTCTATCAGAATCGATTGAGAATCTTGGTTCACATAACAGTTGATGGAAAATATGTAGAGAACCACTGGCAACTGAAAAAAACCCCCAGAAGACTCATGGTGGAATCCAAGTTTGTAAGGGTCATATTTGTTCTTATGAAACATGCTTCTATTACCACTTCTGTAAAGAAGCCAACTGAGTGCAATTTAAAAGTATAAAGTCATGATCTATTCCAGTTTGGAATTGTATGAATTGTACTTCATACATGTATTTCCAATTTTACATTAGAAAAATCTTTTTCTCAAATAACAGCAAAGCCCTGAGCTGCCATTATTTATATGGAAACCCTAAGGTAATGTTGACTCTGATCATGACCCCTGAGGCAGGGTGGGGCTTCATTTAGAATAATCTGTGTCTTGGGACAAGCCCTCAGCACAACCGGGTCCGTAGGACAATATTTTAACGATGGAACATAGTATCTAGGCTACAATAGTTAGTCTTGGTTTTGCATGGGAAAAATCCAAGAACCTGAAAGTCATGATCAGACTTATTTAAACAGAAACAACCATAGGTACTGGTGTTATATTCTTTATCTTAAAAAAAAAAAAGGTTCCAAAGGTACCATAAATGTTGAAGTATGCACATTAAATGGAAATTTTAATTTATTCCCCCATATACAAAATACACATACTTTCCTTTCACGAATACATGATATCATGAGTACCTCGCATTTATCTAACTTACTACAGCTCTTTTGCAGAAAAATCAAGAAAGCTCTAAATCTGGCAAGATTTCCGGGGCACAGTGGCAATCGAATGTCAGATTCGAACAATTTTATGACAAAAATACAATGTATTCCCAAGGATTGAACTCCAAATAGTAGATTGTCATTTTATAAGGAAAGTTTAGAATATTTTTTTCAGCCTTAAAATGTGAGGAATTTCATTGAAAATGTAATAAGAAGAGTCCCTTAGTTAAAAATATTGTAAGAAATGTAACATTTTAGGATTTGATCCCTAAAAAATTTATTAGGCTTGTTCAGCAATTGTTTATCAATTAAGGTATTCCACCAGGATGTTTAACTTATCTGTCCTTATAAATTCTACAATGATTGATCTTGCATTGTATTCAATAGCACATTTGCCCCCATCCAACAGACGTTTCCTACCTCCATCGAGAAAGAGTTCCGCTAAGTAAAGTAATCGGGATATCAAGTAATCGAATCTATTGATGATATCTATTGACTGACATGAACACATATTTTGTGTAAAGCATTTTAGTTAGTAATCATTGGAAACAATTTAAAAATAAATACCAAGTAGGCCATGTTTCCACATGTAAATACATATATGCCTTATCAATTTTGTAATACAATGCACATTTTAATACTTCAACATAGAGTCCGAAATATCTGACGTTTTCCTGGCTTGTTCACGATTTTGATATTCTACGTGTCGGTTTTCCTGGAACGTAAAATATCAAAGTAGCGAAAAGCCAGGAAAATGTCAGATATTTCAAACTAATTTACATAAAATACACAAACTGTAGAAAAAATGACCAGTAGACCTATAAATAAAATTGATGTGTACATAAATTATATAAGTTTTAAAATAGATGTAAGTGATAAAATCGTACCTAGCAAAAATGATAAAAATTGATTCAATTTTTTTTTCTTTTGAAATTTGGTAAAGGATGCATGTATACCGGTACATCATAATAATCAAGGCTATTCTCAGAAATATCATCACTGAATTTGTGCCTGGGATTCTTGCAAAACGCAGAATATAATAACTACAGGTATCTTTCACAACCTGTAATTCATTTAAAAAATGCTTCCAACATTTCTCTAACATTGTATTTTAATTAAAGTAAACATGGATAACATGTGGTAATCTGAATTGCGAAGTCAAGAACACAGAGGTATTGTACATGTGAATAAAAAATTCACCTTTTCAGTCTGTGCACTGAAAAAGTACCCATTTACCCCTATAGATCTGAAATCATACGTGTAAATGTATTGTTCCAACTATACTTTCAGATTTGAAGTACCAGGTACAACATCATGCAGTATCTTTCATTCCTAGTAAGTGTCTAGTGAGCTCTAACAAAGAAACAAAGTCCAGTTTGCACTTCTGGCAGCGTTTGGTAGAATCAGGTTCCACATGAATGTTTTTCACATGAACATTGAATTGGCGACGCGACTCAAATTTTTCATCACAGCATTTACAGACGTCCCCAGCATGAAGCAGCATGTGTCGCTGTAGATAGTTATTGTGAATAAAGCCCTGGCCACAAGTCTCGCACGTAAAAGGCTTGTTACCTGTGTGCTTGATGCGTATATGATTACGCAAGAGACTGTCATGTTTAAACTGTTGATGACAGAACTGACACTCCAAGTTCTTTTGCTCTGTATGGATGTATTTGTGAACTTTCAAATTATATCGCCGGCTAAACACCTTGCCACATTCAGAGCAAGTGTGGGTTTCTCTTTCTACATGTCTACCTCGCTTTCTAACGCCTGGCCCCTCTTTCCTCTGTGATTTATTTTTTTGACGATTCTTCCTCTGTCTAGTTAATTTTCCAGAATCTAATTGTTTAACTTGTTCTGGTATCTTCTTTATAGGTTTTGCTGAGTTATCTTCAGTGTCTTGTTCACTGTTCACTGGTAGTTCCTGAGTGATGCACGAGTCATTAGCTGGACTAGAACCACTGGGAATTCTACGGATCTGAAATGACTTTCCTTGGTTTTGGTCACTAACAACAACCATTTCATCTTCCTGAAGGAGGCTGATGATGGATTTGCTAAATCCAGGCAAGATACGATCAATTGTGTCATCACTGGCTAACCTCCCAACAGAAGACGTTTTGGTGTTTAGAACATCTTGGTACAGTTTATTTAAATCTAGATCCGACATTTTCTCGAAGGAAGGTAATGTCATCAAGAACTGACTAGAAACATTCCCTTCATTATCTGACACCTCCAATATGAAGGTATCATCTTTTTTCAGACTGGTCTGTCCAGCTGAAGTTTCTTCATCAGACAAGATGGTGGTGGAATCGCTGGCATTAGAATCTTGTCTGGTAGGTCGAGTATCAGGGAGCAGAAAAGATAAAAGGTCTACAGTGTTGCCTGATGCTAGAGCAGCAGCTCTGGTCATTCTAGTGGTACTCTCCTTGTTCACACTGCACCCTGTTTGACTATACTGGCTTTGGTCACTAATCTGAATCTGTGGCTCTATCACTATGGTGTCAGCTCTGGATAAACTATATGCCTTGTTTTCACTTGCAGATCTAGATATCCCAAGGTTCTTATTACTGTTAGCATTAGAATCACCTATCAATACAGTGTCAGCTCTAGATAATCTAAATTTCTGATTTTCACTAGCACTTCTTGATAACTTGGAAGTCTTGTTCATGCTGGCAGTTTTCGATGACCTTAGGGTCCAGTTTTCCACGCTTTGTATGTCTTTGTTTGATATTCTTAGAGATGAACCGAGAGTCAGGATCGCTCCAGCTACATCCTCTATTGAAGTCTCTGGAATATCCTGACCTTTGACCTGGAATCCTTCGGAATCTTCTCTGGGCTGTGGTGTGATTCTTTTCCTCTTTTTTGGGTTGACCTCCTGAGGATGTGTAGTCAAGCTCGGGGATGAGGAACTTGTTGTGTGAAGTGATGAAGTCCTAAAAAATTTGCTATGATCCTGAAGATGGGTTTGAAAGATTTTAGTATCATTGAAAGTCTTGTAACAGTAAATACAATGTATATTAGATCCTGCCTTAGAGTGCTTCATATGCAGATATCGCAGTCCACAAAAATCACATCCTCTGATTTCCAGTAGTTTATTGCTTTCGATTGGATGAACTTCCAGCTTCTCTTTATTACATACTGGACATGTTTCTATTTCTTGACTCGTGTTTGGGCTAAGGGAAGTTTCTTTGGTTCCTCTGATCTGAACAGATTGGCGTTTTCTTGCTACCACTTTCCTTTTCAGAGGCATTCTTATTCAAAAGATGAAAAATCTGCAAAAGATTTAGCTCCAAGATAAGAAAGCAACGTTTTCAAAACATTCAAGCATAAGTATGGGAATAAAATCAAAAGTAGTGGTAATTAATGGATAAATCATTGAAATCTCATGTTAATATACAGATAAATGTTTTTAATTTAATGTATAGTTATATTCTCATTAACACTGATTAAAATTGTTCTGTTGTTGATATCTCAGATTTTCATTCCAAAGACACGTGGATCATTTATATAAAAGATGATTGATTAACACAAAACACATCATTACCATTTATGCATTTACATTTTTTAAAATTAAGTAAATAATCAAAAACATGTATGTAACTTACCAAGAAAACACCACCAATATACCATCTACAAGACAGTCTAGACGAACTCCATAAACGGCGTTAACGGAAGTGAGAATTTCAGTCCAGAAAAGACTCCAAAAAACGAGTCCAACGCATGCGCAGTTATATAAAAAACGGTGAAAAATCGTGAAAAGTGGGCTCTTATAAAAAGTGTTTTTGCAAAAAATTGGATTACCTTACAATAATGTAAGTACTCAGAAATGATTAATAATAAATGGTTTTAGAGAACGTATTTGTTAGAATTTTGATTTCATGTGCAAATAGTTTTTAATTTCAAGTCAAAGTTGACCAACTTCGAGGTTCAGCCAGACATCGTACAAGTAGGATACAAAATACAAATTAAACAGTCGTAATCCTATGAAAACATCTCTGTGGTTGATAATTTGTTTGTAGTGACTAAGTTAGTCATTTTAGAACTACTTTTACTGATTTTAGAAGTTTTTTTTGTAAGTAAGGAACGCTAGCGAATTTTCAGTTCGAATTTCCTCTGTCTTTCATGTCTATCGTGTACGAATGAATTTCAGGATGTTTAGATCAGCAATGAGCAACTGCATTGTAAATACATCTTACCAATAATTAAAAAAGTACTGAATTGATGGTTTTAATCATAAATAAGAGTCGATCAGGTGACAGTTACATGAGAATCCAATCAGTTTCCACATTTCCTCCGAGGCTTTTTTGAAGAAAGTTCACGTTTCAAGTTAGATCAAATACAAAGAAAAATAAACGTTTGGGAATTAAATATATAATAAAAGGGGAAAATATGTAAAATTGAACATGTAATATATATGTTGTAACTGTTAAACATTGACCGAATTTTTACCTATTTGTAATATTATTTCGTCATAGAATTCTGTATGACATCTGAATATTGAGAGCGTTAGTTATCACCATCGCTATATATATACCTAATGTTTTCACATATGAATAGATATAATCATGAAAACATTTTTAGAATTATAATCTATGAGTTTAAGAACTTAAAAAAAATCATTCTTTTAACATGTTTAAAATTACGGTAAAAAAGTCTTCTCAAATCGAACCTGTTAATATCTCTGCTCTTTGCCGCAATGCATGACGGAGCCAAAGACTTCTTTTTTGGAGTTCACGCCGTTTTTGGAGTTCGTCTAGACTGACAAGATGTCTGGATATGAACGTTGTTGTTGTTGACTTAACCGGAATTTTTATTTCCTCGTACAAGGTTTTTATTTCATCTTCGTCATTTAAATGTTTGTTGCAGTTCTAAACAAGTATTATCTTCAATACATCAACTTGACATTGATTCAACTTGTCATCATCATGTCTCTCGAGAGTCCAACTGCTTCTCCTCTTCGGAAATCAACAAAATTTGAGGGTTCTCCATCTCGTCTATTCCTGACAGCTCTCTGTGCAAGTCTTGGCCCCTTCACATTCGGGTTTACAATTGGTTACAGCTCGCCTGCAATTCCTAAACTAGAGCAAGAAAAGCTTCTTGATGGGAAAAGTTTAACAGGATGGTTTGGTGCTATGATGACAGTCGGTGCCATTTTCGGTGGTCCTTGTGGAGGCAAGTTAATCGAGAAATATGGCAGAAAACAAACGTTGACAATAGCTTCCGGGATATTCTTTGTGGGATGGCTTATGACGGGATTGGCGTCAGGTATTCAAAGCCTACTAATTGGTAGAACTTTGTGTGGATTTGCAAGTGGTCTAATAACAGTAGCTGCCCCTGTCTACTTTGCTGAAATTTCCACAAAGACACTGCGAGGATTTCTCGGAGCAAGTATGCAATTGTCAATAACCGTTGGCATTGTTGCAGCATATGCCATAGGAATGGCATGTTCCTGGTCTATGTTAGCATTCTTTGGTGCATTGCCTGCAGCATTGGCGATATTGCTACTCTTCTGTATTCCAGAGACACCCAGATATCTTATTCTGAAGAACAGGAGAAAGGATGCATTGCTAGCATTGGCAGCTCTGAGGGGGCCTCATACAGACGTGGAGGATGAATGTCGAGACATAGAAGAGGGATTTATGCAGGAAGCAGGATCCTCTTTCTCCTATTCTGAGTTTAAAAAACCAGAGCTGTCTCGTCCCTTGTTCATCTCCGTCATGATCATGGTTTTTCAACAGTTCAGTGGGATCAATGCAGTCATGTTTTACACAGTGTCCATATTTCAGAGTGCTGGGTATAAGAACAGTGAGCTTGCTACTGTTGTTATTGGCGTTGTTCAGGTAATCGCAACACTTGTAGCTTGCTTCTTAATGGACAAAGTTGGACGAAAGAAATTGCTAATAATAGCAGGTTCTGTAATGGCACTGACTTGCACAACATTTGGATATTATTACTTTCGCATCAGTAGTGGAACTCACGCAGACATCAGTTGGCTCGCTATCACAAGCCTTGTCATCTACATCATAGGCTTTTCCTTGGGCTGGGGCCCAATCCCCATGTTAGTGATGTCGGAACTTTTCCCAGCCCCAGCAAGGGGTGCAGCTAGTGGTATTGCAGTGTTTGCAAACTGGTTTTGTGCTTTCCTGATTACCAAGGAATTCATTTTATTGCAAGAACTGTTTGGACAAGCAGGTACCTTTTGGATCTTTGGTGTCTGCTGTCTTTGTGGTGTTATGTTTGTGTCTAAGTACCTACCAGAAACCAAGGGGAAGTCCTTAGAGGATATTGAGCTTTATTTCCTGGGAAGGAGTATGATGATGTAATTAGTGGGAATCTCGTTTATTTGTTAAAATATTTAAAGGGCTGGGATTATGCACTTCACTCAGTACTAGAACTCTGTACTAATACATATCACAATATTTATGCCACGATATCCTGACATTGTACTCATACTGGTAATTGTTTTGAAATTTTCATTCTGTGTTGCATAATCAATATATTTATTGACAAATTTTTTTAGTAGCTTTATATGTGAGGTAAAATAAAATTTTATAACAAGACATGGAAAAGTGTATTAAATATCATGTGTTTGGTAAAATATTTGGAATTTATTATTTATTATTCATTTTATGTATAAAATTCAAGCATGGGGTAAAAACAAAGATACAACTGTATTGTGGAATCATTTTAATTTGTGGGGGTCATTATTCCTGGGCAAATAACATTTTATTGGTTCTTTGGGATGTAATTTTGTGGGTAACTCGTAAAAACATACAGAAGATTCTATGTATTAGTATGTATGTTAACAAGATACTTCTTCGTGAGGATGTGAATTCTTGCATAAGGATGACCTGTAAAATCCGTGTACATTGGTCAACCACAAACATTGATGATTCCACAGTAATTATTTTGAGTGTGAATTAATATTTCTTAACACAAATTAATATGCATTTTGACCTTGCACAGAATCACAATTTCTGTACATGTATATCATCCCAGCCCTTATAATTTATGTTACTCATTTTTTTCTACATCTATATGTAATTGTACAGTGGGATATCTTGAAATGGTAAAAATTACTGCCTTTTGCAAGCATCCAGCTTCAATGTTTTGATTTCAGCAAGTGATTCTTAAAAAAATAATTTATCTACATGGACATGTATCTGCCAAAATTGCTTGTTGACTTTTCTCCAAGTGTTTCTTTACTTCTCTGTGTGAGCAATTTGTGTTGTATACATGTATTTATAATATTAATAATTTTTTAAATATTTATTTTATTAATGTTAGTGTATGTAGTTTTATAAATCTCCTCAAAGCATATACTGTATAATGGCATAAAACCATCGGGCTCCTGTAAAAATCTGTTCAACAGAAATGTATACAGGTACTGCAGTATATATTTTTGAAATCCAAAATGCTGTTGTAGAGAAAATATTTGTTGAATTTGATGAATAACCATCTTGTTTGGAAGTCATGGATCCTACATAACCATTTCCAATACATGTACTTCAATCATTCCAGAAGTCTTTAACATGGGCATACAGCATGTACAGTAAAACATTAATATTTGTTGCAATTCTTGTTATCTGTGGAGGTTCATTCATGTCCATGATCCACTATTTTATGAACTAACATTTAAAAATATTTTTTTTCCGAACATAGATGTTCATATAGTGTACTGTGAATTTATTGTTCTGAAATAACATTTTATTATACCCAAAGGAGAGGGAGGTATTTACCCTTGTGTGTCTGTTTGTGTGTCCCTAAATTTTGGTTGCAGTTTTTTCAACAACTGCTCATTACAGATGCTTGAAATTTTAGCACACTTTTTCTTAAGGCATTTCATATGATGGAATTCATTTAGTATAAATTTGATGTCAACATGAGAGAGTGTATCCTCATCAGAGCAGGGGTATAAATTAAATTGTGAGTAGTGAGCATTCACCCACATTCTTGTGTTTTTTTCATTCATTTATATTAACATTCTCTGTTGTACTCCATTTATTTCAATTGTATTATATTAACTGGTCTATATTTACATGTAATCAAAATTTCTCACTGCAAAATAAACTCTTTATAAAAAATAACTTTGGTTATATTAATAAAAAAAAAAGATATGTTGGACTTTTTTGGTTATTAATAAAAAAAAGCATGTTCATTGTGGAACTTGTTTATTTTTACTTTGTGATCAGATATATGAAGGTCTACTCAGAATATCTGTTAAAGAGTTGTAATTCTTGACTCTAGGTATCATATAGAAGGTTGAATGTACAGTGGTTAGATTGTTTGCTCTAGAGTGATGGAATAAGGAATTGATCTTTAATTATGTAGCAGATTTGAATCCTGCCATGGGACCTGGAGACTGGTCCTTTGAAAGAGACTATAGAAACCTAGGTTTTAGGATGAAAAAGATCCCTCATTGCTCAATTGACTCGGATCATAGATCTTAATACCGTATGCAACTCTTGACTGGCAAGTGCATGGTGGCATATATATACATGTATCTCCGTATAGGTGAGAAATTCTCAAGAGGGATGTTATACAACAAACAAAAAAAAACCCTTAGGTGTAACAATACAGTACAACCCTGCCCTATAGTTTTTAAACTCTCCAATTTACTGCTTGCTCAGTTGGTTTCACAAATTGATAATAAAGATTTTTATAAATGAAAAGAATTCAAGTTTGTACAGAGTTTAGTCCAACCCTGTGGTATAAGCCTAGCCAAAGAAGGACTCCACAAGGTGGAGCATCTGCTAGCAAAGAGCATACATATTTATTAAATCAAGGCAGCATTGGACATTGATCTCGAAGCAAATTACATCATTTCCATTTCATACAGTATTAACTTGCATGGTCATAAACACACATGATTGAATTACTATCCTCTTTAATGCATTGTGAGGGGATAAAAAAAATCTGTGGTTCAGATCATGCCCTCATCACATTGATACAGGTCAACAGTACTTTTCATTTTGACAATTAGATCATTCTCTCTATTCTAAACCCACAGGAAATTCAAAATACTTGCACATGGCAGTTGTGACCAGTTGACCGGGGATAGTCCTCCATGGCACCTGATGCTTTTTTAGAGGTCCAATTGTTTGCTCTACTCCTGATTGTATTATCTGAATGAACTTCTGAGCTTGAATATTGTTTGTTATCGCCATACATTTCTTTTAACTATAAAAACGTTTTCAAATTGGATCAAATGGGCTATTAGCTTCAGAACTGTAGCTCTCTGAAAAAATATATTAATAGACAGGAGAGCTACAGTGCCACCCATTAAAAAAAAATGTAGGATAGTAATACAATTTCAATGGGGGGCACTGTAGCTCTCCGGTCTTTCGATATACAGATGTTTATTTTTCGGAGAGCTACAGCTGCAGCTAATATACGGGGCATGTATGTACTTTCAGAAGAGAAGTTGAAATAAATGTTTGATTCCAGACAATCATTGATAGCAAAAGATCACCTGTCCAATGCCACTAACTACGGAAAATCAATACAATGAAATATAGCACATATTTTAATAACATTTACATACATGTATAACAATAAAAGGAGTGAAAAGGGAGAAAACTCTTCAGTATTTGATCATCTGGATTATTGTCTTTGATGATAACGTTACATGATACAATTACATGTACAAGTAATTTGTCTTGGATGTTAGAATAAAATATTCACACACAGAATATCCTCAAGTGTGCACTAATTGATAATGTTGAAGGTCACAGGCAGGGCTCGAGCTGTGATTCGCCATTGTCGCCAATTGCGAATTTTTTTCAAAAGTGGCGAAAAGAAATTCATAAGTGGCGAAAATGAATTTTTTTAGATGTACCATGTACAGAATTTGTGTAGTCCTGGTTAGCTCCTTTGTTTATTCAATGTACACAGATAAGTCCCTTTGTTTACTTAATGCAGCAGAGGTGTGAAAACAGAAACCTACATGTGGCTGCATTTCATTTCCGGAATTTTGAGCAATTATCAACTTTTCATTTCCGACATTTTTTAGTTTTCATTTCCGACATATTTTTGTTTTCATTTCTGACATTTTTCAGATAGGATACCTTTAGTTACAGATTTGAAGACTTTACCTATAAAAAAAATTAAAGAATACAAATCATCAATATATCATTGAAATCCAAGTTCTGATTTTTTATAAATTTATCAATGAAACGACTGTGAAAATGGAAAATGCAGGCATCTTCCTAAATTAAAGTTCGAGTGATTGACTCAATGTTTACTCTGTGCAGATGTAAAGCAGAAAAAAAAATAAATTTCTGTGTAGAGCAGTATAATAAATGCGTTATCAACCGAAGTAAAAACTTTCTTCATAACTACATTGTATACTTGTGATAATGCGTATGTATTAAGCAAATAAAGAATAATAAAAATGGTGCTGTCACTGATATGCTGTCACTGATATTTTAGTGAAATTTAGAAACTGCATTTTCTTTTTCTTTTATAATTATATTATATTTAGTTTATACCAATATTTTGCATTAAATACTTTTGAAATTTCATTTTTACTGACTACATATTAAGGAAAATATTAAATTGCCGCACAGGTAAATTCCGGAAATGAAAACAAAATTATGTCGGAAATGAAATTAAAAAATGTCGGAAATGAAATAAATAAATGTCGGAAATGCTTTGCAGATTTCCGGAAATGAAATGCAGCGCTACATGTAGGAAATCACGTCTCGCTTGAACAAACAGAGCTGACTAGGTAACTAGCCTGGAGCAATAAAGGGTTACAAAGTTTCTTGAAATAATATAATTTGGATTAAACAAGGGGGGGATAAAGTGTTATTGGGGGATGAAGTTAGTAAATAAAAGACTTTTATCAACAAAATCTGGATCTATGTAGATCGTTTCTTTAAAACCGAAAGTAGGGAAACATGACAAAAATTGTAAAATATTAATTAATGGCTTCAAATTTTACCTACTGAAAATTAAAAAATGTGTATATTAGATACCATTAACTGACAGAGATTGAAAAAGAAATTGGTTTGGAAACAGAATTATCTTTAGTTAGTAAATTACACTGAATTATGTATAATAACATGAGCTTGCATATTAAACCCTGGAGTCTCCAAGTTGTTAAAATAAAGTTAAGTTTCAAACCTAATTTTCATTACTTTTTAATTTACTTCTTTTCACAATAATTAATTAATGAAATGATGAAAATTTCGAATTTTAAAAATGTCATATTTTTACTAGGCCTGTAGCCCCCCCCCCCCCTTCTCCTTCCCATGTGAAAAAAAGAAAATAAACAAGAGGACTTTTCTGTCAAGAGTTGGCTGATATCAATACAATATCAAATTAATTGTGTAATTCAAACATTATTAATTTTTCTTATTTTAAATGGATACTACCATAAGCTTTAAACATTACAATTTTAAAACAATGTCTATGTCAGATAAACATAATAAAAAAAAATGAATAACAAAAAGTGCATTGCATTGTCGAGAAATCAGATGTAAGTATGCCTTTCCTTAAAGCTTGTGTCGCGAAAAGTGGCGAAAAATATTTTAGGTCCAGTGGGAGCCCTGGTCACAGGTTCACTGAACACACTGGTTTCAGACTGATTCCAAGAACTCTGATGATATAATGGTCACATGGTTTTGATTAAAAAAGATCCTTCATGGTCATCTATTAATGGAGTTGAGCTGTTCTTGAATATCAGAAAGAGTACTCATGCTGCAAAAGAAAAATTCTTTACATTATAATTGTAAGCATTTTTAAGAAAATGAATAGGCTCAGTCTGTATACAAGTTCAATTTTATATTTCAAAATGCTAGTGATTAATATTAAATTACTAATACATGAGTACAAACATCAGACTTAAAAGATTCATAACTTTTCTCAAAATCGTCAATCGCAGAAAAAGGAATTAAATTATAAAATGAATATATATTGAAAAGTACTTCGCAATGTTTAGCTTCGAAGTTTACTATATTGAAATCTCATAAATTTTTAATAAATATATAAAAAAAACCCCAAAAATATTACCTTCTTTCTATAGCTGACTCTCTAACAAAAGAAAGTACAAATACATGTTTAGTTCTAGATATTGTATTAAATAAAATAAAAAACTTTTTTCCTATTTTTATAAATTAATACATGTACTACAACCTTTCTTCTTTCTTCATTTATATAATTAATTTTTACATGTTAGGACTACCCTTACCAAAGTAAAATTATTGCAGCAATATTGCCGCTATATTGCGGCAACATTGCAGCAACACATTTTTGTCACCATGCAGAAACAAGCTTTTTGGGTTAGTGAAATATCACCGCTAGCAGCAACAACTTCTGGTGACATTCTGGCAATACTGCCAGAAAAAAAACTTTCTGGCAGTATTGCCAGAATGTCGCCAGAAGATCTAGGATTACCCATTAGGCATTTGTGAGCATGCTCAGTCATTTACTTCCTCTTTTTAAATAAAATGGAGGGAATTCAAAGGCAAGCATGTGTTGCTTCATTATTGAATGGTATCAAGTTAATTGGAGTTGTTAATTGTGTACAATAGGATTAGACATGATGACTAGTAAGACTGAATAATGTGGAATAGCCAGAAAAAAAGAATTTCAGCAGTTTCCATGGCATGGCCTTTTGAAAGAATTATAGGAATGTCTAACTCTGTTTTCATGGTACAGGTGTAAATATATCAAACTTGGTAAGTCAAAACCATATTCTTTTTTAGATGAATGATTCTATGGAGATAAAATAAGAAAAATTATATGTATTTCAACTAGTGCTTGTGATGCATGTATACTATACTTGTATGTCTAATATATATATCATACCATTGTTGCAGGAAAAGATGAATGCATGTTATCAATTAAATGCATGAACATATATATAATTTATTGCATAAATTTGAATACCTGCAAGAAAATAATGATTCTATTATATGTTGGAAATTACAAACAAGCTATATATTATACATTATACTGATTAATTGGCATTGGCGAATATGTGATGGGCAGCTAATTATAAGGTTATTTGAAAAATGATGCAGAGTTGCTGGACATTTTCATAGTGGCATATTAGGTAATATTTTTTATATACACATTTTTTATGTGCCTGGATTGATAGATTGGGGGCGCATATTGTTTTTGTCCTGTCTGTTTGTAAACTTTAACCTTCACCATAAGTGATAACTTTTGAACCAATGAGAGATAGAGATTTCATATTTGGTATGCATACTCCACTTATTAAGTCCTTTCAAATGACACCAAGGTCAATGACCTTGTGACCTTGACTGTGATCTATATGTTAAAAATAGCTTTTTTTTTATTGAATATTCACCATAATTTAAAAACCATGAGAAATAGAGACTATATATTTAGTAACCTTGGCTGTGACCCATATGCTTAAAATAGATTTTTTGAACCTTCGACATAACTTTTGAACCATGAAAGATGGCAACCTTATATTTGGTATGCATTCTCCATTAATTATGCTCTTTCAAATGACACCAAGGTCAATGACCTAAACCTTAAATTTTGAACCATAAGAGATAGAGACTTCATATTTAGGATGCATATTCCACTAGTTAAGTTCTTTCAAATGACACCAAGATCAATGACCTTGTGACTTTGACTCAGTGACCTATATTCTAAAAATGGTTTTTCAAACTTTGTTGCCGCTTGGGGCATATAGTGTTTCAAAAACACATCTTTTTTCAACAAAATTTTTCTATCTTTTTAAATAATAGCATAAGCTTAAGTAGCTATTTCTTACTGACTCTGCTAAGCTTATTAAGCTATTGATTTTTATGTTCCTCAGCACAATTTGTCAATTGTTAGACTGATAGATCATTTTTTCTATTAAATACCAATTTATATAGGTATATATAGTACTGCAGTGTCCCAATATTGCTGCAGCAAAACCTGAAATAATACATGTACTGCAATTGCTTTGCAGCAACATTGCTGCAACACCTTTCTGGCAATATTGCCGCAAATCTAATTTACATACGAAAAACGATATTGCCGCAATATTGCTGCAATATACTGCCAGAATGTTGCTATATTGCCGCAATATTTCCGCAACACTTTTCTGGCAATATTGTCGCAAATCTAATTTACATATGAAAAACGATATTGCCGCAATATTGCTGCAATGTATTGCCAGAATGTTGCTGCAATATTGCGGCAATAATGCCAGAAGATGTTGCCAGAAGGTGAGTATTTTGGTAAGGGTAAATACATTTAGAATGAGCAAATCACTGCATGATACTTACTGATATTCTAGCTGAGTTTTTATTGTTATCATTTTCTTCAATGACTGTAAAAAAAAAAAAGATTTGTAAATATTACAGTATATTTTCGGAAAGAGAGAGAGAGAAAGAGATAGAGAGAGATGTAGTTACCTCTGATGAATTATGGATGACGTTCTCCTGACAGGAAAAATTCTTTGCTGCTTGTGCCAGAAGCTAGATAAAATATATATTTTTAAAAATCAGCACATGTCATCATTGTCTTTACATATCAATATCTTAATGTTTCTGATCTAACTACTTCGAGGAAATTCTGGCTATATCAAGAAACAAGAGTGGGCGTTCCTACCTCGTTGGATTTTGACGTTTTTACCACATGTCTTACAAGGGACCCTACGTCTTGTACATTCTGTGCAACCTTTTCGTTCAGCCTATTCTTTGTCTCTTGATTCCAATTCATTTTTAGTACGAAAAATGAAAATAACCCTCTAGTTTTCCGGATTGGAAGAATCTTTCTTTTATTGTGCAAGTTTCACTTCCGATGTTTTGTAAGGTACAGCCTGGAGAAATTGTTAATCGTCGGACGACAGAATGATGAAATATGGGCGATGCATTTCTGAAAAAGTCTGATTAAGTGTAAGAGAGAATGGCCTACAGTCGTCTGTCCTCCGAGGACGAGCGGTATGTTATCTGCAAATGATGTTTTAGTAGCTTCGCCCGATTGAATAACCATGAACATGAATCCTGAAAAATGAAATATATTTTATTTGATTGAACTGTTGAGTTCTTGATGGTTATACTATACATTGTTAGCAAAATGCTTCTTGCAAATGAGCTGTGCAAATGTCGTTATGTGTGCTCTAACAGACATGCAGATTTACCATGCAGACTGTCCATCACTGATTACCACAGAATATTTTTGATGCTGTAGGAAGTGTTGCTGGGTTTGTTTTGCTACAGTAGAGGATGACTGGGAAGCTAAGTGGGTGAAGCCCTGCAGGTGCCGGGGAACCACCAAGTGGGTCCACCAGAGCTGTCTCCAGCGGTGGGTGGACGAGAAACAGAAAGGGAACAGCTCAGCGGAGGTTTTCTGTCCACAGTGTGGAACTAGATACATCATAGTGTTCCCAGAGTTTGGTAGGTCTCCCATCAGGAATTCAAACTCTGGACCTAAAAACTTTTCCTCAAATTCAATAGTTGAATAAGTTCATCGTGTTTTCTCTGTCTTGTTAGTATGAAACTGTTCAAACATGCTCAGTTACAGTTACTAATGTCATAAAACAAAATCTATCACAGACTAGTATCCCAGTTTGGTAAAGTCCTCTGTCTTCATTATGGCGTTATATTTCCAGAACATGTCGTCTTACATCCTGCGTATAGATTTTGGAACATGATTGTTCCAGAATTTGGTAGGCCTTCTGTCAGCAAATTTAGCGAAATGTTTTTTAAGCTCACCTAGACGAAGTCGAGATGAGCTTATGCTCTACCCCTGGCGTCGGCGTTGGCGTCGGGGTTAGCGTCGGCGTCCCAGGTTAAAGTTTTAGGAGCAAGTCCATTGCCAAGTAACTATAAGCTCTACCTGAACCAAACTTGCATGGATGATGCATCTAGGGATGTACACTACCAGACTTGCTTCGGATGCTGGATCGGACCTACATTTTCTAGATGAGTGACCAGGTTAAAGTTTTTGGAGCAGGTCCATTCCCAAGTAACTATAAGCCCTACCCGGACCAAACTTGCATGGATGATGCATCTAGGGATGGACACTACCAGACTTGCTTCGGATGCTGAATCTGACCTACATTTTCCAGATGTGTGACCAGGTTAAAGTTTTTGGAGCAGGTCTATTCCCAAGTAACTATAAGCCCTACCCGGACCAAACTTGCATGGATGATGCATCTAGGGATGGACACTACCAGACTTGCTTCGAATGCTGGATCTGACGTACATTTTCATTCCCAAGTAACTGTAAGCCCTACCCGGACCAAATTTGCATGGATGATGCATCTAGGGATGGACACTACAAGACTTGCTTCGGATGCTGGATTTGACCTACATTTTCATTCTCAAGTAACTACTGTACAGCAGGAAATTAACTCGCGGAGTTAATATTCGCTATATTCGCGGAAAAAGAAATTCCGCGAATTCAACATATAGTGAATAATTCTTGAAAAGATTTATAAGGGTAAACTGAAATTTTATCATCATCTGTGATTACATGTAGATGTAGACTGTCATTATAATTATGAGAGTGTATACAGACATGTAGTTGTTGGTGTTTTGTAAAGCTTATTAATTGTTAAATTAATTTCTATAGCTAACGATTACGGTAGTTGCCATCTAGTAGACATGCAATGTAATTATTTAATTAAACAAGATTGTATAATTTCACCTGTGTGTATCACTCAGTCATTACCTTTAATCAAGGCACTTGCGAAGTAAACAGGGTAATTATAAAGACAATTAATTAATTTCAATTATATGATTAAAAGTTCAACAATTTGACTACTATATTTTTTTTTATTTGGCCTCGGAAATGAAAAAAATATTCTGAATGCGTAACATTATTTTGACTTCAAATCGGGATCAGTCCGGTGTTTCGTTATTATTTAATCGGGCTCAAAATTGACACACACTACATGTATATAGACTTGCCTCTCCTGTCTGATATGCGCGATATACAAGAACAGGCTTTCGTAAGATATATAGAGACTGAAAATAAAGGTTCACACAATATATACCTAAAGAAAAATGCTTGCAAGTACTATTTAAAAAATGTATGGTTTTTTTCCTTTCCGCGAATTCAAACGACCGCGATTTGCTGAAAATTGAACAAATCGCGATCTTTTCCGACCGCGATTTTAACCTGCTATACAGTATAAGCCCTACCTGAACCAAAATTGCATAGATGATGCATCTAGGGATGGACACTACCAGACTTGCTTCAGATGCTGGATTTGACCTATATTTTCATTCCCAAGTAACTATAAACCCTACCTGAACCAGACTTGCATGGATGATGCATCTAGGGATGGACACTACAAGACATGCTTCAGATGCTGGATCTGACCTACCTTTACATTCCCAAGTAACTATAAACCCTACCTGAACCAAACTGGCATGGAATATGCATCTAGGGATTGACACTACCAGACTTGCTTCGGATGCTGAATCAGACCTATATTTTCCAAACAAGAGACCAGGTTAAAGTTTTTGGAGCAGGTCCATTCCCAAGTAAGTAAAAGCCCTACCCGTACCAAACTTGCATGGATGATGCATCTAGGGATGGACACTACCAGACTTGCTTCAGATGCTAGATCTGACTTACATTTTCATTCCCAAGTAACTATAAGACCTACCTGAACCAGACTTGCATGGATGATGCATCTAGGGATGGACACTACAAGACTTGCTTCGGATGCTGGATTTGACCTACATTTACATTCCCAAGTAAATATAAGCCCTACCTGAACCAAACTTGCATGGATGATGCATCTAGGGATTGACACTACCAGACTTGCTTCAGATGCTGGATCTGACCTATATTTTCATTCCCAAGTAACTATAAGCCCTACCTGAACCAAACTGGCATGGATGATGCATCTAGGGATCAACACTTCCAGACTTGCTTTGGATGCTGAATCTGACCTATATTTTCCAAACAAGAGACCAGGTTAAAGTTTTGGGAACAGATTAATTCCATTGAACTTGAAGTCCTTGATATCTGCAGTATTAACAAATTTATGAATATTTGTTTGCACTATACATGTTTTTCACACTACATGCGTAGAAATATGTATATGCCCTGTAAGGGGTTAAACACAACTTGCAAGAATATTGTTGTTGGGATAAATACTAGATATTTAGAAAATGTGATGTGAGATTTGCATTACTTACACTGATAACATTCGTCGAGGTGAGCTTCGTAATCTTTGATTACCTATGTTTCCAGATTTAGATTTGTTGTTTTCATGGTATGAAGAGACACAAATTTATGTCCCCAATGAAATAGGAAAGTGAACACTGCAGCATGATCATATACTCTTCTATTTTTAAGACATTTTATAGAAAAACAGACGATATCAAGAATACCGGTAATCAATTTCAGGTTCCTTTTTAAAATGTGTGGATACCATTGATAAAATGATTCAACACATTAGTCCCTTTGGTGTCGGTATGCTGTTCTGTGCTGGTGTATACTGGAGTGCATTTACCTATGGATTTATAGTAGTTTTACAGGTAAGATTCTTGGTTTTCCAATAAAATCTTGATGCTTTTTTAAACATGAAAATAAGCTGTACATACATACATACTTTGTCAGGTAAGGTTCTTTTTTAATATATTTATCTTACTTGCATATAAAGCAATAAACAGAAATATGTTCTGTTAATTTCTGATAAATCTTTTGAAATTTAGAAATCATACATTAGACAAGTTCTAATAGTGGTAAATTGTATCTTGTGTTATCTTTAAAAAATATGAGAGTTACCTTTCTTGATATGTAAGAACAGTGTGTGTCCCATAAAATGGCAAAAAAACAAATAAATAAATAAATAAAAACTAAGATGAGCAGAACTAAAATAGAAAAAATGAAAACACACTCTGTTTATGAATTTATGTGCTTGGATTTCCTTTATATTTCTATTGGGACATGTATTCCAGGTGATGGGTACAGAGGAGGGGTACACGTTTATGGAGGAGGTAGAGAATAAGATGTTACTCCTGATCAGCATGCCGCTTATCCCTGTCGTCCTCATCCTCGGGAGGATGATTCAGTGGGAGGACGTCCTCCTCAAGCTCTGGAGGAGACATGCCCCCAGGTTCCTCACCAAATTCTTCACCAATGGTTTGTACCTGATTTACACTTTATATGATCCAAGCGGTCCTTTTTTTCTTGTTAGAATAACAATGTAATATTCTTTTGGCTTATGAGGGTCATGACTTTTTTTTTGCAATGGTGCTCTGGGAATTGAAATTAAAAAATATGTATTTCGGTAAATTTTCAGTGCAGACTGATGAAAACAATCCCAAATCTTTCCTGTTGAGAAAATGGCCAAGGTGGGGGGATTGATTCCAATCATACTGAATTTTACATAAAATTAATGACAAAACATTTACTTCAATAGAAAGGGCAGTCTTGCCTAGGTTTCCTGCTGACACAACACGTATAGTGGATCCTGTGTCAGCGACACGCATTGTCTGTGGGGCTCTGGTTCTACCCAGCTGTGCTGTCTTGTGTGGAAATCTCTTGTTCAGATCTGTTCGCTCCAACATGCAGAGAACTATGATGGTAGGAATATACCTGCTTTTCTTACTTTTTTATGAAATGAAAATTTTAGTTTTGTTTATGTTTTTATTTAATTTTGGGGTACAACAGTCATTTCTGAAGAAGCTTCCAGTGTAGAATGAAAATTTGCAATTATAATTTTAGTCTTGACAATTTTCATTCCACTGTTTCAGGGAGGAATATCTTTCATAGCATTCAAAGGAGCCATTAAAATGTATTACAAACAACAGCAGTACATCAGGCAGGCCAGGCGAGTGATACGGGACTATGAGGAGGACGATATACCCATGTTCTCTTCTCTGACCTAGCCGGAATTAGTAACTGTACATTCTGAGAAGATCCTGTGATATCAAAGTGAAAGCAATATAAAGATAATGAGGCTCACAATATACAAACTTAAACAATAATTTGCATGGAAAAAAGGGCATTGTGAGAAGGCAATAATTTTTTATAAAGCACCTTTATTTAGCATAATTCAACTTTTAAATCCTTAGTTTCTTGAACATGAAAGAATATTTCAAGGAAGTCTGACTGAGGAAAGGGATGATATGGGTGGTATAAGGGAAACGGGAATGTTTAATAGAGAGAGGCTCAGAATTAACTGCGAATACTTCAAAAAGAACCCCCTATTTCTAAGAAGATTATTATTCTTTCCAACTGACACCAAGAGAAAAGGATCACATTCAAAATATTAAGCAATGCATTTTAACAGACTTTTGTCAATGTGTGAAATAACCCTATCCCCTTCAGCTTTATTGTACCAAATTTTGGGATGTTTTCTTGCCAAAAGCTCAGTTATATCAGTATACACATAGTATTACACTCATATAGATATTTCAGAGTATAATCCTTAATCAAGTCAATGGTAGATACTGTTAAACAAATAATAATTAGCAGACTCAAACTGTAGTGCTATCTCCCTATTCCACTGATTTGTGGCCTTGAATAGCATTACTTATTATATCAATTTTTATGTGAGATTTTTATTCGATATTAATAAATAAGACAAAATTTTCACAAAAATTTGGTCATTGCTCTATATACCAGTAATCTTTAATGCTGCCTGCATTAATACGGCATATATTCAAGATATTTTGACAGTCTTGTATAATATATGTAGCACAAAAATGAAGTTCTCACTAAAAAAAAAATAATTTTTTTTACTGTGTATGTATCACTGAAATAAATCCAAAAATATTCAGCTCACATTTTTTTAGCTTTGAATGTCAAGAAATTATTCTTGCTTTTTCACAAATGGTGAGTTTAAAAGTGACTATTACTGGTATTTAGTGCACTGTAATTCATCTAGTCTATGGTAGATATGTTGCCTTCTGCTGTAAATCGAGAGCTTTTAGGCATTACTGTGCAGGGGAAGTTTGAAGAAACATATTTTTAACATATACAGTGATGTATGTGCAAATGTCAATGACTGTCAAAAAATAAATGTAGCTTTCAAAGTCTAACCTATGCAATCATGGTATTACTTGGTGGATTTAAATAGAATATACCCAATAAGCAGTACTTAATTAAACCTTATCCATTCTTAGATTTAACAATTATTTCACCCTCCTATAATACAGGATTTATTGGAGCATACCTCACTACATGTTTGTATTTCTTATACATATAATTATAGGTACAGTGTACATGTAATTCATGCTGATGCTAAGATATTATTTTTAAATTCTGCTTTTATTTTGCCGTTAATGGCTTGACTTGTTTTAAATATTTTTTCACTGTGGACTGTGTTATGAATTATAAGATCCCCCATTCCTCCTTCAGTTTCAATACTAGCGAGTTATAGAGAAATCAATATAGTATGAAAGAAAGGAATTTCACCCTTCTATTAAACTAGAGACAACAAACATGAAGAAGACTAATCCATTGTTCCATTAAATGTTTCAAATGTGTCTGTAAACAGAAAATTATTTGACTTTGGTTTCAACAATAGGATGCATGTTTCTTATTTTTATTTTCATTTCACCAGGAGAGAGCCTTTTGTTTGATAATTTTAAAATGATGAACACACATCTGTGTGGCACGACATTTGTTACAATAAGTTATCATTATGCTTCTATTGTATCATAAATGTAAAATTCTGTCAATACATATCTGACAAGGTTGTTATAAAAAAAATTTAAAATAAAAAAACCTATTCATTTAAATTGTCAATACAGTTATAAGATGGACATTTTAAACATGCTACTAGGAAGAGAAGTTAGTGCATGCACACCGGATATTATAACAAGGGGGGAGATTGATGGTGTCTTCATACAAGGAACCTTGGCCCAGAATTTATAAGATATTGGTGTCATGTGCAAGAACTAATGATTCATATAATTTATTTAAAAATATGCATAAAAAAGTGTAAAAGTTGATTGTATACCCGTACTATTACACCTACACATTTAGTGGGCATTGAACCCACATTTTACCACATAGGAAGCTCATTCATAATTATGTTAAGAGATTGAATTATGTGTTTTAATTAAATTTTTTGACATTAAATTAAATATCCATTATGTTTTCATATGAAAAAAAAATACATGGGGCCTATTTTCATGATGAAGATGAGAATGAAGCAAAATTAGGTAATTAGTTTTTGGAGAACTAGACCCTGCTTCATTTTTTTCCCTATGAAATTAAAATTCCAGGAGCTTATTAATTTTGGTCTCTGACTCTTGTTTCTGCACACATAACCTTTGAAGTAAACAACTTGGAAACTTGGCTTTGAATCAGATCCTTGCTTTATTGAAAGTGGATGTTTAGCCAAGTGTATCTGAACAAGTGAGAAGGAAAAATATTCTGAAATATTACAAAATGCATGAGTTTAGTGATGGAGAACAATTACCGTAAGGAAACTCAAACTTGACACAAAGATAGCTTATGATCAGGGCACGTAGTCCTGACTAAAGGTCATTGGTAAGGTTAATTAAGCTTACAGGGGTAGGAAAAAATATGTATGAAGATTAGATGAAATTTGACATGAAGGACTGGTAATTGAGTATAACTGGATCAAGGTCACTGAAATTTTAAGGTCTAAAAGTTTTTGAAAGATCAATGTTTGAATTGAAAAACCTTTCAATTGGATCATGTTTGAAAGAAACTGGATACAACTGAAGGATGATTAACCTGACATAAGATTACATGATTGTCACAGAAATACAAAATGTCATACTAAGGATTTTTAAGATCTTGGGTTCAAAATTTACCATACACAGTTTTAATATGTCCCATCGGAGGTAAAAGTCCTCAATTCAGTCAGATTTGTCCAATTTTTGTTTCAAATGTTGTTAATAGATGCTAGTGTATCAAGGTCTTTAATCACCGGATTTAGATAATTCTTTAAGAAAGGTTTTAATATCAGCTGAACATTCAAAGTAATTCTTTAGATAGTCAAATTGTCATAGGAGTAAGAATTCTCTCTGAACATTTGTGTCCTTGAGAAGATCCTGGTGACAAATTAAGGCATTTAACTTTTAGAATTTTCAATAACTTAATGGCTTCTATTGAAAGTACATGTACCAGTATTTTTCCAACAAAATAATAAAGAAGAGGAGATTCTAACGGCAACCAGTGACCCATTAGGTTCAGTCATTGCAAAAATTTCATCTGCTCTCAATAATAGATAGAGAGAGGAAATATCAGTCTACACAATATATATCTAAAGAAAAATGCTTGCAAGTACTGTTAAAAAGATGTATGATTTACCTTTCCGCAAATTCAAATGACCACAATTTGCTGAAATTGAACAAATCGCAATCTTTTCCGACCACGAGTTTAACATGCTATACAGTAGTTAAATTCTTTAATTTGCATATTTTGCTTTTGTCAATGAATGTATACATTTACATATGTAGTTTCTAAATCTTTAGAAATTCTACTTTTATTTATAAAAACATAATTATAATTTATGTGATAAAAAAAGAAAAAAAAAATGCTGTAGAATACCAGTAGTTTTAAGAATAATGCCAGATCCAGGAACTATAATTAGCAACAAAAAAAAACAAAAACTTGAAATAAAGTCTTAATATGCTTCCATTGAATTATATTCAAATATTTAATTAAAACAAACAATAAATATATCAATCTATATTGTAAAAACAACACATTAAAAGAAAAACAACCAATGATGAAAAATGTAAAAAGTATTAGAATAATACATTCTGTTTAACATGTTCATATATATACAGGTAGTATTTAACACACACCATATACATCTTGTCTAAAATAGGAAAGGTGTTTTATATATCAGATGATGTATGTTATAATACAAATGTATACAATTCATGAAGTAAATGTTTATTGCAAACCACAGCAGTCACGTCACCAAAGATAAAATGTTAAACACACATTCCATTCTTCTACCGGTTTATTGTAGATTTTTAAAACATTTAATATTGACTATTGATTGGCTCATAAACTGATCATTATGTGTCTACTATGAATTTCCAGGCTTTTTTTGTATTGGTGGACATGATTTAGATTTGTTTTTCCAGGCTTTCATATTGATTTGTGTATGATTTTTAAGGGTTTCTCATTGGTTGATATGGTTTTTCTATGGTTTTCCAGGCTCTCGCTCTCATTGGTTGATAGGATTTTGCTATGGTTTTCAAGGCTTTCTCATTAGTTGATATGATTTGGCTATGATTTTCCTGAATCTCTTATTGGTTGATATGATTTGGCTATGATTTTGCTGAATCTCTCATTTGTTGATAAGATAAGGCTATGATTTTCCTGAATCTTTCATTGGTTGATACATGTAATAATAATAATAATAATAATAATAATAATAATAACCTTTATTTATCCAGGATAACACAATTAGCATAAAGCTAGTTTTCATTGTGGTCCTGCATTAAAACATATTTACAATCACATAAGGATATACAAAATTAACATCTTAATATAACCACAAGCTATAAAAATACAACACATACATATATAAACATGAAGAAGCATATCTTTTATACACTTAGACATTGGGGAAAAATCCATTTTAAGTATTGAGTTTGTTAAAATACTCAGCGAGATACACAGATTTAAAAATATCCACTGACCTAGAATTTCGAACATTTTGTGACAGTTTGTTCCATAAAAATGCAGATGAATATCTAAAAGAACGTTTGTAATTTTCTGTTTTGGCTCGTGGTAAATACAATATGTTCGACATAAAATCATTCGACCTGGTTTGGCGACAATTGACATCTCTTGTATATTGAAACACATTCAAATAATCTGGCATTTGATTGTTTAAAACCTTAAATAGAAAAGTGACCTGTCTAAACATAAAATAATCCTTGATTGGCATCCAGTTTAAACAGGAAAATAAAAAGGTAGTAGGAGTTAAAACATCTCGAATGTTTAAGAGTATCCTAGCTGCCCTCTTTTGAAGTTTGTACAACTTTTCTAAAAACATTTGATTTTTCACATTGCACCAAACAGTGGAACAGTAAGTAAAATGCGGAAATACAATACTATTAAAAACCTTAATTAAAGCATTCGGTGGCATAAAATGACTCACTCTCTTAAGCACAGCAAGTTTTCTTAAAATTTTCTTTGAAATAAAGTCAATATGAACATCCCAAGATAAAGTATTATCAATATAAACACCAAGTAATTTGGCCTGCTTCACAAATTCAATTTGAACATCATAAAAATTTATGATAAGATTTCTACATTTTTGTAACCTTTTGGATGTGCCAATAAGCATGCACTGCGTTTTTTGGAGATTTATACTGAGCTTATTTTTAATCATCCATTGAATTCCTAACTCTAAATCTTCTTGAAGTTTTCTCTCAATAACGTCTATGCATTTATCGCTTACATCCTGCGAGGTGTCGTCTGCGTACATTGTGACTGACGAGTGTTTAAGACATTTTGAGTAGTCATTGATATATAAAATAAAAAATAACGGTCCTAAAATTGACCCTTGAGGGACACCTAAAGATATTTCTTTTTCTCGAGACAGAGCACCTCGCCAACTGACACACTGCTTACGATTTAAAAGATAAGATTGAAAAAATTTAAAAGTATTTTCACAGATTCCAAATGACCTCAGCTTATGTAAAAGAACTGTATGATTGACTGTATCAAAGGCCTTACGCAGGTCAATAAACAGAACTCCAGTAAGTTTACCGTCCTCCATGTTTTTAAACCATTTATCTGTTAGATTGTCTAGTGCTGTTTCACATGAGTGACCTGGCCTAAAACCTGATTGATTTTCAGTTATTAGTTTGTTCTTTGATAAATATTCATAAAAAGAATTAAAAACATGACGCTCAATAATTTTGCTAACGACATGTATGACTTGGCTATGATTTTCCTGAATCTCTCATTGGTTGATATGATTTGGCTATGATTTTCCTGAATATCTCATTGGTTGATATGATTTGGCTATGATTTTCCTGAATCTCTCATTGGTTCACATGACTTTCCTATGATTTTCCAGGCTTTCTCATTGGTTAATATGACTTTCCTATGATTTTCCAGGCTTACTCATTGGCTGAGCTCGAGATTCCCTCCAGGCTGTGGTCAGTGACATGGTTTCCAGAGGGGGGCTGTATCTGGAGTCCCTCTGTGCAGTACCTCTCTTGGACTGTGGAACTGGACTTTCCAGCACCGTCTTTGGGCTTTTTGGATTCCCATTCACTGTCCCTCTCTGTTTATCTATAGAAGCTCTCCTACTTTTGGCCTGCTCTGTATCAGAATTTTGGGGTTTTACTGAGCTCTTTCCCATCTTGGACCTTGCTGCCTCAGATTCACTTTTCTCAGGTACAGCCACACTAACTCTGGAACCTACTTTTGTCACACCCTTAGGACTGGAAGGAGGGTCCTCTGTAGGAGTTGGAGGTAGGTCTACTGAAGGGGTACCTCTATTGGAGCCATAAAACTGTGAGCCCCATGGTGTACCTCTTAGAGCTGGATTGTTGAGAGAACCAGCAGGAGAGATGTGGCCTTGTTGCTGTGGTGTCACATGCTCCTGGGGTTGTGGGGATTTTTCAGTTTGATGAGAATATATTGAGGCCTTTACGGAGGAATGGGACCTATTATTATCCAAGGCCTGGGCAACTCCTTTGGAGACAATTCTTTCATTTTCCCCTTGAATCACTGCTGGCCAGACAACAAAGTCTATTTTATCTCCTGCCATTGTGTAATAACTAAACAACTTGGTGTCAAAGGTTGACTTTCTTATGACCTTGGTGACAAGGTGCAATTGAGGCAACTGTATACACATGTACCACGTGACTTCCACACATTTCTGTGTATATCTGACTACCACTGGCTCATTTACATACTGCACATCTAGGAATTCAGGCAAGACTTCTTTAAGGAAAGTCTGAAAATAAAAATGTTTTCAATTGGCTTAGTTTCTCCAATTTTATTTATCAGTAAAATTTTTGTAACCTCCTGTAGGACAGGGATACACTCTGATGATGCCAAGTCTCTGTATTGTTGTACACTGTACCAGATACTTACCTCCTGTAGGATAGGGATACACTCTGATAAGGCCATGTCTCTGTATTGTTGTACTCTGTATCAGATACTTACCTCCTGTAGGATAGGGATACACTCTGATGAGGCCATGTCTCTGTATTGTTGTACACTGTATCAGATACTTACCTCCTGTAGGATAGGGATACACTCTGATGAGGCCATGTCTCTGTATTGTGGTACACTGTACCAGATATTTACCTCCTGTAGGATAGGGATACACTCTGATGAGGCCATGTCTCTGTATTGTTGTACACTGTATCAGATACTTACCTCCTGTAGGATAGGGATACACTCTGATGAGGCCATGTCTCTGTATTGTACACTGTATCAGATACTTACCTCCTGTAGGATAGGGATACACTCTGATGAGGCCATGTCTCTGTATTGTTGTACACTGTATCAGATACTTACCTCCTGTAGGATAGGGATACACTCTGATGAGGCCATGTCTCTGTATTGTGGTACACTGTACCAGATATTTACCTCCTGTAGGATAGGGATACACTCTGATGAGGCCATGTCTCTGTATTGTTGTACACTGTATCAGATACTTACCTCCTGTAGGATAGGGATACACTCTGATGAGGCCATGTCTCTGTATTGTACACTGTATCAGATACTTACCTCCTGTAGGATAGGGATACACTCTGATGAGGCCATGTCTCTGTATTGTTGTACACTGTGTCAGATACTTACCTCCTGTAGGATAGGGATACACTCTGATGAGGTCATGTCTCTGTATTGTTGTACTCTGTATCAGATACTTACCTCCTGTAGGATATGTATACACTCTGATGAGGCCATGTCTCTGTATTGTTGTACACTGTATCAGATACTGACCTCCTGTAGGATAGGGATACATTCTGATGAGGCCATTTCTCTGTATTGTTGTACACTGTATCAGATACTTACCTCCTGTAGGATAGGGATACACTCTGATGAGGCCATGTCTCTGTATTGTTGTACTCTGTATCAGATACTTACCTCCTGTAGGATATGTATACACTCTGATGAGGCCATGTCTCTGTATTGTTGTACACTGTATCAGATACTTTCCTCCTGTAGGATAGGGATACACTCTGATGAGGTCATGTCTCTGTATTGTTGTACTCTGTATCAGATACTTACCTCCTGTAGGATAGGGATACACTCTGATGAGGCCATGTCTCTGTATTGTTGTACACTGTATCAGATACTTACATCCTGTAGGATAGGGATACACTCTGATGAGGCCATGTCTCTGTATTGTTGTACTCTGTATCAGATACTGACCTCCTGTAGGATAGGGATACACTCTGATGAGGCCATGTCTCTGTATTGTTGTACTCTGTACCAGATACTTACCTCCTGTAGGATAGGGATACACTCTGATGAGGCCATGTCTCTGTACTGTTGTACACTGTATCAGATACTGACCTCCTGTAGGATAGGGATACACTCTGATGAGGCCATGTCTCTGTATTGTTGTACTCTGTATCAGATACTTACCTCCTGTAGGATAGGGATACACTCTGATGAGGCCATGTCTCTGTATTGTTGTACACTGTATCAGATACTTACCTCCTGTAGGATAGGGATACACTCTGATGAGGCCATGTCTCTGTATTGTTGTACACTGTATCAGATACTTACCTCCTGTAGGATAGGGATACACTCTGATGAGGTCATGTCTCTGTATTGTTGTACACTGTATCAGATACTTACCTCCTGTAGGATAGGGATACACTCTGATGAGATCATGTCTCTGTATTGTACACTGTATCAGATACTTACCTCCTGTAGGATAGGGATACACTCTGATGAGGCCATGTCTCTGTATTGTTGTACACTGTATCAGATACTTACATCCTGTAGGATAGGGATACACTCTGATGAGGCCATGTCTCTGTATTGTTGTACTCTGTATCAGATACTTACATCCTGTAGGATAGGGATACACTCTGATGAGGCCATGTCTCTGTATTGTTGTACACTGTATCAGATACTTACCTCCTGTAGGATAGGGATACACTCTGATGAGGCCATGTCTCTGTATTGTTGTACACTGTATCAGATACTTACCTCCTGTAGGATAGGGATACACTCTGATGAGGCCATGTCTCTGTATTGTTGTACACTGTATCAGATACTTACCTCCTGTAGGATAGGGATACACTCTGATGAGGTCATGTCTCTGTATTGTTGTACACTGTATCAGATACTTACATCCTGTAGGATAGGGATACACTCTGATGAGGCCATGTCTCTGTATTGTTGTACTCTGTATCAGATACTTACATCCTGTAGGATAGGGATACACTCTGATAAGGCCATGTCTCTGTATTGTTGTACACTGTATCAGATACTTACCTCCTGTAGGATAGGGATACACTCTGATGAGGCCATGTCTCTGTATTGTTGTACACTGTATCAGATACTTACCTCCTGTAGGATAGGTATACACTCTGATGAGGCCATGTCTCTGTATTGTTGTACACTGTATCAGATACTTACCTCCTGTAGGATAGGGATACACTCTGATGAGGTCATGTCTCTGTATTGTACACTGTATCAGATACTTACCTCCTGTAGGATAGGGATACACTCTGATGAGGCCATGTCTCTGTATTGTTGTACACTGTATCAGATACTTACATCCTGTAGGATAGGGATACACTCTGATGAGGCCATGTCTCTGTATTGTTGTACTCTGTATCAGATACTTACATCCTGTAGGATAGGGATACACTCTGATGAGGCCATGTCTCTGTATTGTTGTACTCTGTATCAGATACTTACCTCCTGTAGGATAGGGATACACTCTGATGAGGCCATGTCTCTGTATTGTTGTACACTGTATCAGATACTTACATCCTGCAGGATAGGGATACACTCTGATGAGGTCATGTCTCTGTATTGTTGTACACTGTATCAGATACTTACCTCCTGTAGGATAGGGATACACTCTGATGAGGCCATGTCTCTGTATTGTTGTACTCTGTATCAGATACTTACATCCTGTAGGATAGGGATACACTCTGATGAGGCCATGTCTCTGTATTGTTGTACACTGTATCAGATACTTACCTCCTCTAGGATAGGGATACACTCTGATGAGGCCATGCAGGGCTTTCAAAAAGTTTTGAACCAGGTGGTACTTTATACAATATTGGAGGTACCACTTGCCGAACGCCGAAGGCGTGAGCCTGCTAGGGGGGTCCGGGGGCATGCCCCCCCGGAAAAATTTTGAAATTTAGAAGCCACCAGACAGCATTTCCTGGTTTCTAGACACATAGAAGTATGCTGCTATCAGTGTTATTTTTATGCCATGTTTTAAAGTTTATTTTTGGTCAATACACATTACATTTGAAGTTTAGCACTGGATGGATGGAATTACATAGAAAAAATTAGTTATTTGAGCAGAGTAAGAATAAGATTTAGGTAAAACTTCTAAGTTCTATGCTATATTTGTTTATATAAATGTGTTCAAAAATTTTTTGCAAGGTTTTAGTTGTAAGTGTTATGTTTTAAATATAAAAAAAAATTATTAAGTCACGAAAGGAAATGGAAATTCAAAATTTAAATGAAATAAAAGAGAAATGAAATTGTATTTGCATTAAATTAAATTAATTTCTGTTCTACAGTAGAAGAAGCACTGCATGATGCATAGCATGTACCAATAAATTCAGCATATTTTTCATGCACTGGTACATGTACATAAAAAAAAATATACATGTGTAAATTAAACAAAGATGACATCAAGACTTGAGACAAAAAAATTTAGATATGACTCCCTCACTTTACTGGATATGGTTACAATATTTGGAAGAAAGTTAATGTCCGCAAGATCATTCTCTTGACCACTAGAAAACTGCTGAATCAAAGAATTAAATGTGTGGCAAAAGAAATAGTTTCTGTCTTGTGTCCGTTTGTTTCATCAGAAAGTTGCAGATATTGAAGACTGTAAGTAATTTATATCGTCAGCTGCGTATTTTGACACTTAAATTTGAAGAGTTGAGGCTATTAAAATGTACAGAGGTGGTCAAAGAACTATCTACTGTTCATGTCCGTCTCTCTATCGGTCAATTGTTTTGAAGACTTTCCGTGGTCTAGTTCCTTATCTTAAAATCATTTGTGAAAATCACTACCATGGCTTTCAATTGACACTTTCATTTCTGACACTTGGATTCCTGTTTTTTTTTATTTTTTTGACCGTATTTATTTAAAATATATTCCTAGTAATTAGCTTTTGTAAAAATCAGTGAAGGAGGCATTTGATATCGAAATCTACTTTCGTTTTCGACAAGATCTTTAAGACGCGTTCAGCAATCTCTTTTGTTTCATTTATTCAAACGCTTTAATGATCTTCTTGACTAACCAATCAAAAACGTTATTAGATACCATTACGGACTAAAGAATAATACAAAGCTACGTAACCACAACTTTTGTAAAACATGGTAGGGCCTATCGTATTTTCACGCGATTTTTTTTTCTCCACTGAATATTTTGGCCGGTACCATGAATGAATCCAACCGGGTAAAAGTACCGGGTACCAGCATATTTTGAAAGGCCTGCCATGTCTCTGTATTGTTGTACACTGTATCAGATACTTACATCCTGTAGGATAGGGATACACTCTGATGAGGCCATGTCTCTGTATTGTTGTACACTGTGTCAGATACTTACATCCTGTAGGATAGGGATACATTCTGATGAGGTCATGTCTCTGTATTGTTGTAACAGATACTTACCTCCTGTAGGATAGGGATACACTCTGATGAGGCCATGTCTCTGTATTGTTGTACACTGTATCAGATACTTACCTCCTGTAGGATAGGGATACACTCTGATGAGGCCATGTCTCTGTATTGTTGTACACTGTATCAGATACTTTCCTCCTGTAGGATAGGGATACACTCTGATGAGGCCATGTCTCTGTATTGTTGTACACTGTGTCAGATACTTACATCCTGTAGGATAGGGATACACTCTGATGAGGCCATGTCTCTGTATTGTTGTACACTGTGTCAGATACTTACATCCTGTAGGATAGGGATACAATCTGATGATGTCATGTCTCTGTATTGTTGTACACTATACTAGATACTTACCTCCTGTAGGATAGGGATACACTCTGATGAGGCCATGTCTCTGTATTGTTGTACACTGTATCAGATACTGACCTCCTGTAGGATAGGGATACACTCTGATGAGGCCATGTCTCTGTATTGTTGTACACTGTGTCAGATACTTACATCCTGTAGGATAGGGATAAATCTGATGAGGCCATGTCTCTGTATTGTTGTACACTGTAACAGATACTTACCTCCTGTAGGATAGGGATACACTCTGATGAGGCCATGTCTCTGTATTGTTGTACAATGTATCAGATACTTACATCCTGTAGGATAGGGATACACTCTGATGAGGTCATGTCTCTGTATTGTTGTAACAGATACTTACCTCCTGTAGGATAGGGATACACTCTGATGAGGCCATGTCTCTGTATTGTTATACACTGTATCAGATACTTACATCCTGTAGGATAGGGATACACTCTGATGAGGCCATGTCTCTGTATTGTTGTACACTGTATCAGATACTTACCTCCTGTAGGATAGGGATACACTCTGATGAGGCCATGTCTCTGTATTGTTGTACACTGTATCAGATACTTACCTCCTGTAGGATAGGGATACATTCTGATGAGACCATGTCTCTGTATTGTTGTACACTGTATCAGATACTGACCTCCTGTAGGATAGGAATACACTCTGATGAGGCCATGTCTCTGTATTGTTGTACTCTGTACCAGATACTTACCTCCTGTAGGATAGGGATACACTCTGATGAGGCCATGTCTCTGTATCGTTGTACACTGTACCAGATACTTACCTCCTGTAGGATAGGGATACACTCTGATGAGGCCATGTCTCTGTATTGTTGTACTCTGTATCAGATACTTACATCCTGTAGGATAGGGATACACTCTGATGAGGCCATGTCTCTGTATTGTTGTACACTGTATCAGATACTTACCTCCTGTAGGATAGGGATACACTCTGATGAGGCCATGTCTCTGTATTGTTGTACACTGTATCAGATACTTACCTCCTGTAGGATAGGGATACACTCTGATGAGGCCATGTCTCTGTATTGTTGTACACTGTATCAGATACTTACCTCCTGTAGGATAGGGATACACTCTGATGAGGCCATGTCTCTGTATTGTTGTACACTGTATCAGATACTTACCTCCTGTAGGATAGGGATATACTCTGATGAGGCCATGTCTCTGTATTGTTGTACACTGTATCAGATACTTACCTCCTGTAGGATAGGGATACAATCTGGTGATGTCATGTCTCTGTATTGTTGTACACTATACTAGATACTTACCTCCTGTAGGATAGGGATACACTCTGATGAGGCCATGTCTCTGTTTTGTTTTACACTGTATCAGAGGCCATGTCTCTGTACTTACCTCCTGTAGGATAGGGATACACTCTGATGAGGCCATGTCTCTGTATTGTTGTACACTGTGTCAGATACTTACATCCTGTAGGATAGGGATACACTCTGATGAGGCCATGTCTCTGTATTGTTGTACACTGTATCAGATACTTACCTCCTGTAGGATAGGGATGCACTCTGATGAGGCCATGTCTCTGTATTGTTGTACTCTGTATCAGATACTTACCTCCTGTAGGATAGGGATACATTCTGATGAGGCCATTTCTCTGTATTGTTGTACACTGTATCAGATACTTACCTCCTGTAGGATAGGGATACACTCTGATGAGGCCAAGTCTCTGTATTGTTGTACTCTGTATCAGATACTTACATCCTGTAGGATAGGGATACACTCTGATGAGGTCATGTCTCTGTATTGTACACTGTATCAGATACTTACCTCCTGTAGGATAGGGATACACTCTGATGAGGCCATGTCTCTGTATTGTTGTACACTGTATCAGATACTTACCTCCTGTAGGATAGGGATACACTCTGATGAGGCCATGTCCCTGTATTGTGGTACACTGTACCAGATACTTACCTCCTGTAGGATAGGGATACACTCTGATGAGGCCATGTCTCTGTATTGTTGTACACTGTATCAGATACTTACCTCCTGTAGGATAGGGATACACTCTGATGAGGCCATGTCTCTGTATTGTTGTACACTGTATCAGATACTTACCTCCTGTAGGATAGGGATACACTCTGATGAGGCCATGTCTCTGTATTGTTGTACACTGTATCAGATACTGACCTCCTGTAGGATAGGGATACACTCTGATGAGGCCATGTCTCTGTATTGATGTACACTGTACCAGATACTTACATCCTGTAGGATAGGGATACACTCTGATGAGGCCATGTCTCTGTATTGTTGTACACTGTATCAGAACCTTACATCCTGTAGGATAGGGATACACTCTGATGAGGCCATGTCTCTGTACTGTTGTACACTGTATCAGATACTGACCTCCTGTAGGATAGGGATACACTCTGATGAGGCCATGTCTCTGTACTGTTGTACACTGTATCAGATACTTACCTCCAGTAGGATAGGGATACACTCTGATGAGGCCATGTCTCTGTATTGTTGTACACTGTATCAGATACTTACATCCTGTAGGATAGGGATACACTCTGATGAGGCCATGTCTCTGTATTGTTGTACACTGTATCAGATACTTACATCCTGTAGGATAGGGATACACTCTGATGAGGCCATGTCTCTGTATTGTTGTACACTGTATCAGATACTGACCTCCTGTAGGATAGGGATACACTCTGATGAGGCCATGTCTCTGTATTGTTGTACACTGTAACAGATACTTACCTCCTGTAGGATAGGGATACACTCTGATGAGGCCATGTCTCTGTATTGTTGTACACTGTATCAGATACTTACCTCCTGTAGGATAGGGATACACTCTGATGAGGCCATGTCTCTGTATTGTGGTACACTGTACCAGATACTTACATCCTGTAGGATAGGGATACACTCTGATGAGGCCATGCCTCTGTATTGTTGTACTCTGTACCAGATACTTACCTCCTGTAGGATAGGGATACACTCTGATGAGGCCATGTCTCTGTATTGTTGTACACTGTGTCAGATACTTACCTCCTGTAGGATAGGGATACACTCTGATGAGGCCATGTCTCTGTATTGTTTAGCCAGACTGCTGATAGAGGAAGTTTTAGATCGAGGAGTGACTGAAAATTCCAGTCTCTTGTCTTCTGTCCACTAAAACAAAAGGCAATTTTGAGTTAGCCTCTGCATTTATCTCAAGCTTTTTTCAAACTTAATTTTTTGTTTTATGATGTTATTTTGTTATTTTTCTGCAATGTTTATTTTGTACATAAATCACACTTAAAACTTGTTTAATCATTATAAATCTGCTTACTGTAGACAGGGGGCAATAGATTTCTCCCTCCACATTCTTTATCTGAGCATCAGCAATGTCTTTACAAAACTCATAGGCTGCCTGATCAGGAAAGTAATATAAAAAAATAGATCATCAGTCAATAAATATTAACATTAAATTAAGATTGAGCTTCTTAATCCTTTTACAAATAATCCTTGACACACATCTAATAAAATATGTGATGATAATTCAACACTGTAACCTATAAATGTAGTTATTTTTAAGTTTATTTTTTTAGTAATCGTTAATTTGAGTGATTCCTACTCTAAGGATCCTTTGCAAGATGTCTAATACTTTGTCCTCTCTTTGGTTGAGATTGTTGTCCATGAACTCGTATGCCTGTAGCCACTGCTCCGCAAATAATCTTGAGTAAATCTCACTGATCTGAAGAAGTGTATCTCCTCCAAGGTTTGAGTTACTCCTCCTGTAATCACAGTGTTGAAAATCAAAAGGAGTTACTGTAAATAATAATGAACAACAGGAAGATATAGAGACAAGGAAAGAGAGAGAGAACAAGGCAGTTAGTGAGAGAGAGAGAGCAAGCCACACAGATAGTGAGAAAGAGAGAGAGAAAGGCAGACAGACAAATATAGTAAAAGAGAGTACAAGCTAGACAGACGGTGAGATAGAGAGCAAGACAGACAGATGTTAAGATACAGAGACATCATACTTCTGCATTGTCTGTAACCTCTGAATCTTGTCCTCTAGATCTTGACACATGCTAATCTTGAGCTGAAGTTCCTGTCTGAGTCTGGTAATCTCGTTTTCTGAATCGATCAGTTTTGTCTGTCGCTGTAGTGGGAGGTCCTTTTTACAGTGCGGACATTTCATGACCTCAGCTGAGGACCTGCCCTGCTCCCCTCGGATAGCTACATCCTGTCACATGATTATTTTGAAATATTTAATACAAATAAAGTTATAAATAAAATAGCATTGTCTGACTGGAGAAATGTCTTTTGAGAATATAGTATCTCAAAGTGTAAAGAAGAGATCAAAAGAGATGGTCAATTTTAGGAAAGTGGAGATGTATGTTACCACGGAAAAAAAAAATCAGTTAATTAAGTAGTTAAAATCTAAAAATAGTAGGTCAATAGTTCCTCAAAGATTTCATTTTTCAAGCATAAGAATTTAAATTTTCCCTACAAAATAAATATCTCCTCTTTTCCAAAATTGGCCATCACTATGTGCCCTTGATGTCATGGCACTTTACTTTGACCTTTGAGTTATGATAATAATGTCAAGGTCATGTGATGGACATTTTAATTCATTAGTAACAGCATGCTATTGTGTCTATGATGCTTAAGATCATGGCTCAAGTTTGAGTACCGGTACATTCCGATTAATATCCAAGAATCTTTTATTGGTAATTTATTACCTTGACCTTTGATATTATACCTTGACTCAATCATTATACATGCACACCTTTAGGTTTTGGGCGGCGATATACTGAAATCTGAATTGTTTTCAATGAAAAGTGTTAAAGCTGAACTTGACTCATAAATAAGCATACGCCATTTCAATATTAATACCATTTACAGTATCAGCACCAGGGTATACTCCTTGCATTTGTTACACCTGACTGCTTTATTGTTATAAGTATTGGCATGGAATGGCGACCCGTGTGTTTGTACTGGTTACCTTGCATTTCCTTTGTTTACCTTTCATTGCAGTTATGTGTATTTGCATGTGTTTATTTGTATACTGCATTGACCTGTGCAACAAATGTAAGTTTCTCTGGTATGTTACTTTCCTGCATAAGAAAAAGTATAAAGTTATATTTGTTGCTACTGAGTGCTATGTAGCATACATCTGTCAATACTGTTGATGACTGCATGATTACACTGAGCAGTAACTAATTAAGTCAGCCGCTTTATGTAGGGGACCTCAGATATAGCAGGATCCAGTCAAAAATGGCAGACACATTCCTTTGATGAATTGTGTTCAGCTTTAAAGTCCAGTAGACATGGTTTCATGACATGGAGACTGACGACAGAGCTAGTCAGACATATACAGAATCATGCCCTAAAATTTTTTCTCATTTAGGAGACATTGTATATTAAAAGAGACATTAAAATTTTGGAATTTAATTCAGAAAGTGTGTATTGGTGTTGAACTGAATCCATACATATTTTTTATCAAAAATTTGGGAAGCAAAACTTTTCTCATTTTGATTAACTTTTTTTTTGCTTCAGAATATTTGCAATCACAAATAGTTGCAAACATACTAAGAGTTGATAGTTGAGTTCCCAGTTTTGGTATATAATATTGATTATTCAGAAATCCTCTTTAAAGATAAAATGTTCCGTTGTCCTGTGCACCTCACACTTGTTTAATCCAATAAATCGTCAAATTGATTTCCTACAGACCTACAGCTTAAGGCCAGATAGGTTATCAGATATTTTATTTCTGTACTCCTCTAATGCACGGTTTGTGTTTTCTATGCTCTGCGTGAGGAGGACGACGTCTTACCCTTATCCTGCTGTACTCCTGCCTGGCCTGCTGGATCAGGGTGTTCGTGATTTCTATACTTACCCTTATCCTGCTGTATTCCTGCTTGGCCTGCTTGATCAGGGTGTTTGTTATTGGCGTATTCTGGGTCAGGGCAGTGAACAGCTCATCAAGCTTGTGACTCATCAGTCCTGACATATCTACAAATCAAATATAAAAAATTAATAGGAATCCTGTTCAAAACCATGGGTTCTATGATTTGAACAGTTTTGATGATCAATGCTTGCATATAAATGTGACTATATTCATGGCCCTGTATCACTGGAAATCCCCAGTTGATTTTGTTTCATTCCTTTCTCTGTTACGAAGTGTAATCAACAACAAATTTCTATGATACCGTGTTTTTAAGAAGAAAATTTAATAATCAACATGAGCCAAATTGTAGTAATTAAAATAAATTAAAAGTAGTTTTCCTGATAATGTTATTCAGGTAAGTTCCCCTCTTACAAACAAAATAAGGGTGGATTCAATTTAGACCAAATAATATTCAGACGAAAAAAGTAAATTAGATTTGACCTTGACCTTTCAACTTTTGGTCTCAAAATTAAAATGGGTCTCTTTTAAGTTATAATCATCATCGAAAGATTAATTATCAAAGCTAAAATATGTTATCATTTGGAAATGACGTCATGCAATACATGTATATGATTTTCTGACTGTGAACTTTGACCTCAAAATCAATAGTGGTCTTTTTTGTTAAAGGAAGGTTTTGATATAAAATTTCAAAACGAGGAGCAAAAGATATAATTTTTGAGGTTATTATAGAAATCAATTGAGTGTTACACACAGCCACACACACCACCTCCCCCTCACACACACACACACAGAGAGAGAGAGAGAGAGAGAGAGACAGAGAGAGAGAGAGAGAGAGAGAGAGAGAGAGAGAGAGAGAGAGAGAGAGAGGGCCTGTTGTTCAATTGGCAATTCCCATCCATCCAACCCAAAAATGTGGTTGATTCAAGGTCAAGACACTTATCTTAAAAAAAATTCTATGATTCATGGGTCCTATGAAATCTATTTTTTAATTCATTGAATTTTTCAATTTTTTGGCATCAAACTCAACAACAAAAAAATATATTTATACGCGTAACACTTTAAAAAATGAATTAATTTTTTTTAAAAACCCTTGGCAGGAGCAATTAAATGTGGGACATATGAAAGGGAAATTCTGTGAATAAAGCAAATTAAATTCATTTTCTTTTTATAACTTCTAGAAATTTGAACTGTTAATTTGACATATATTTTCCTACAAGTTTATTATTTGACAATCAGGTATAAATTAAGTGTTCAATATTTGATGAACCCACATATATTAACCTATCAAAAATAGAATAATATCTTTCAGAGTATCTGAAATCAGAAACCTACCTGAACATAATTATTTTCTTATCAAAAGAGGAGGAGAAGAAATAAATATTTTAATTTACTGTGTATTTATATATGTTTTACAGTACAAGCAGTTGGAACATAAATAATTTTAAAAGCAATTTTTTCCCTTGAATTTGATTCTATAAATTAAATTGAAAATGAAAAAAAAAATAGGTGTGTGAACCAAGCAGCATTTTTTGTTCATCTTAAAAAGTCCTAAAGGATATACTCAATAGAATATGTTCTCAATTTGAAATACTTGGAAAGTTGTACAGGTATTGATTTTGAAAATTTTCTTTTCCAGTATAATTGAAATAAAATTTAAATGCTCTCTCAATGAATTTTATGCAAAATACAAAACATCAATGTAATAAGCAATGTATTAAAGACGTCAGATTGCTGGAGAATGTACAAAATAACATTAAAATATTTTAGCAATATAAATTTAAATATAGATATTACCATCTTTTTAGGAATTATCCGATATAAATTTACCTGTCCAAAAATCAGATACATAAAACAATGATGATCTATTTAAATCTTCAGATAAGCACAATAATAATTGAGATAGCAGACAAAAGAGTAACGTTTTTTACCTGTTGACAGTTTCAATTAAATCTCTGCAGAATTTCCCATCTTAATTTCTAACATCGAATGTTCCAAGTCTATGCAGAACTGTGGCTTATTTCACATGTATTAAACAAGTCCCTAAGAAATGATAAAAAAAGATTTTATTTATTTGTGCCTTGGCTGAGAAACATTCCAATCTATGATGAAAACCTCCAGTGTGGCTTCAAAGTTGTTTAAATCCTGGTATCAGTGGCATTAATAGAAAATGCATTTACTCATGAAATCCCACATGGGGACCAGCAATACTAAATATGAATAGGGAATCTCAGGTAGACTTTTAGTTCCCTTTGACCTGTTTTAAAGTTCGATATTGAATGTTGTAAATATAAATAGGGGGCGTTTTAGAAAATTAATGAAAAGAATAAAGACCATAACATTTACAAAGAACTGGTAGACTGACGAATCTATCAATGCTTCAATGATTGGTATATAAATATCAATGTACTCAAAATATATTAAAATTCTCAATTCTTTTGTGGCATATTTCAAAATGTTTTAATTGTTTGAGCACACAATCTGTACTCTACTTAATTGTATAAATTTTATTTATAATGTAATTCTATGAATTGATGTAATATGTGTTTCCTACCCATTAAGATTTGCTCCACGGCGCTTGCCCGTCCTTAAGTACTAAATTCTATTTCCTTAACAATGATATCCTGTACTTGAGATATCTAATGTGTAAGTTATTTTTCAATTACAATAAATCAGGTGTGTCTGGTAGCAAATACAAAAGTTACAAAAAGTTACTTAGAATTTACAGCAAACAACTATTCAAGTTACACTGTATAACCTGGTTGGAGTAGCTAATGCTTCACAATCAGTGAAACAGGTTTATAAAAAATCATTTTAAAAATGTTCCAACCCAGGTTATACTGTATAACTTGGGTAGCTATTACATTTATTCCTTATAATCTATTTTTTCATTATTAAGTGTAGAAAATAGGACAATTTGTCCTTCAACAAAGGCTTAATTCAAATTGAAAATACAACTGTAATTTAAAAGTACGACAAGTGGACTGATATTTTTGGACACATTAAATCACTATGATGAGGCAACACAGCTTTAAAATAATTTTTTTTTTTTTATGTAATCAACATTCCAACCAAAACTAAATTATTAATATTTTTTTGAACAAAAAAAAACTAAGTTATGACTAAAATGCAAATAATTCAAGCATACCCTTCAGTTCACAATTTTACAAATATGGTACCTTAATTTGACAATTTTTAAGGGTACCATTTAATTCCAGCAGGAGTTATCTTTCTTTTCAGAGAGTCAATGCACCTTAATAAATTGTACATTTTATCTTGGGTGTTTTTTCAAGAATGCATCTTCCTTATAACTATTTCATCCAGCAAAAAACTAATTACCAAACACATAATCCTCTCAAAACATATTAAGATGGAAAGGTAACAAACATCAAACCAGAGATCTCGGTTAAAAACTGTTATTTTATTTCAACAAACATTTAAGGCACTTTCAACAATTGAATATCATGAGAAATTGACACAAAATGGAAAAAAAGATCACAGAATTTTTTCTTATCCCTGAAGTTAAATTTGTACTGGTAAATCTCATTACAGCATAAACAAAAGACAATATGTTATACCCTCTTCCATTTCAAAAATTATGTATTGTAAATTCATTGTTTTTAAAAAGTTTCAGACAATATTTGTATGAATTAACATGAAGTCTGGGAACCTTTTCCTTAAGAATCAATGGTACACACAAGGTAATTGATATCAGTGCTGTACAATAAAATGGATGATTCAAAGATCAGTATTACTTGTATTTAAACATGAACACATTATGTCAGCTATATAATATATCTTACCCACAGGCACCTGACGTTACTTATTTTTCTTTTAATAAAAAAATATACCCCCTACCTAATTATTAAGTAGGGGGTATATTTCTTTATTAAGAGAAAAATAAGTAATGTCAGTTGCCTGCGATTTTACCACCCAATATATATTATATAGCATGTAAAACAAAATACTGAACATATATACACAAGAATATGACAGAATACAATTTTTTACAATGTCAGTCCTGCATGGATCTCAAGACAGAGTTTGTGTTTTGGATTTTCATTTTGATTTTATAGTGTAAGCTTATATTTGGTGTGTTAATTAGTTTTAATACTCAAAAAACTGTAATATAATTAGTAAAGTGACAAGGAAATGTCTCAGCGCACTGCGTTTGTAAACACAGTTTCAGAAATTGCATGAAAAAGATTCACTTATTCATTCAGGCATTAGGACATTGCCACTGCAATTCAGAAGAGATTTGAGGCATACGAATTAAAAGATATATATATATATGTAGCAATATTGTGACAATGATTCAGTTTAAATTGTCAAAATTTAATTCGATTCAACCTTTCATTTCAAAATATATGTTTTAAATTAATTTCATTCACACACTTTCTCAACAAAGTGATGAGTAAAATTTGCACACCAAAAAATAGAGGAAAATGAACGGTAAATAACATGAGTGAAATGGCGTTACAATATATCAATACTTCAGAATCTGTAAAATCAATGTATCAAAGTATGGAACATGAACACAGTCAGGTAAAAATGGCACCAAATCTCAAGGGAAGCTACTCCATCCTAGCACTGCGGGAAACCAATATGGCACTATGGAATGTAACATTTGAAATCCATCTACAGAATAAAAGAGGACATATCTTAAAACAAGCAAATGCTATGTATGGATCAAACATATAAGAGATTTTTTTACTTAAGCATGTCTTTGTTGGTTGTAATTTCTATGACACAAACAAATTTCAAACATCTGATAAAACTCAAAATTTCATATCCAAATTGATCTATATAGGTATATTCCCATTCCACACAAAGCATGAGTTACCTGGACAGCTGAGTTTATAAGACTACCTGTATATAATGATATTCTGAAGCACTCATCTACCTATACTTGAGCAACTGGCCACTCAATTGTTTGGTATCATTTGTTCATCAGATTACTGTTTCAGGGTTAATTATTATTAAATTTGCTCTAATAATTTTACAGTTAATTATTAATTAAGTGTTAATTATTACCTTCTGTCAGGACCCCCTGCACATGGTGAGCTGTGATTTCCTCTCTGGGTATACCATAACTTGGGGGTTAACATAGGTTGTGGGGTAACAATGAGCACTGCGGTGGTGACCTGCAGTATTGTCTGAGAGATACTGAGGGGTCACCATTGTAAACTGGGGGGCCACAGCAGACATACACTGAGAAAGCTGCCGGTCTTTCTTCTGGAATCTGAAAAATGAAGAATTACAAGATTATCGTACAGATTGATTTCCGAAGACTGCACAGAACTTTCAGGTGCTATACACAGAGAAAACATATCAAACACAAACTTCAGTGAGGCTGTAAGAGCATGCAAGGCCTCTTGAGCTAAGAACTCTTTGAAAGTTTAGAAATAAAAGTTTTTAACGCCTTTATAGTATAAAATGATAACCCATACTGATCACACAGGCCAAATTGATCAAACTAAATTTCCTAAAAGTGGCCTGTATTCCCCTCTGGGTTTCACACCACCCTAAACATTCTACTGACTTGAGCATGCAGGGTTAGAGTTCTACTGATGCAGAGCATGACATTAACACAGGCTCAAGAGTTCTATTGACCTGAGCATGACACTGACGCAGGGTAACACTTCTACTGACTATAAGAGCATGACATTGACCCATGGTAATACTTCTATTGACCCAGGCATGACATTTATGAAGGGGAAAACTTCCACTGACCCGAGCATATGACATTAACAAAGGGGAACACTTATACTGACCTGAGCATGACATTGACGCAGGGTAACAATTCCTCCAGGAAGTAGTCTGTCATTAGCTGAAGCTGCTGGGGCCATGTTGGTGTTAGTCGTAGTGAAATTCGTGATGCTGCAATACAACTGGCTGCTTTCAGAGAGGGTATATAATCCTGGAAAATGTGGTCTGTTTGAAAAAAAAAATTATAAAAATCAAGGTTTGCACATTTATGACAATAATTTTGAAGTATGATATACATTTTTTTTTAAAAACTGGTGTTATCTGAGTGAATTGATTACTATGACATCCTAAACAAATCTTCTATGGCTGTGTCAAATTCAAATGAACTTAGAAATTGGTTGAATTAAGACTTTTCGGCACTTCTCAAAATTAAGTGCATATGTGGTAAAAACTTGAACAAGCAGTTTTTTTTTCCTGAATGTAAATCTTTTGTTTTATATAATTATAGTACTTATGATAATATTTACAGACAAAAACATTAAAACTTATATTAAAAAAAAATTAAAGTTGTTATCATTATACATTTCCCAGCTCCTCCTTCAGTACCGTGGTATATTCATTTTTTGATGAAGAATTAATTACTAGACCTCTCTTGAATATAATTTTATTGAAATCCTACCTTGTAAGGAGATCTCCATGAAGTACTTAGTGTGTCTCTCAAGACATTCTGCCACAGCAGACTTTGACGACAGAGGAAGTCCGTCAATTAAATCACAGTCATCCACAGCGACAACTAGGAAATATGGCACAAACTGAGCTACTGTCGGGATGGATAGCGACCAGTCAAAAAAGTTAAGCACTGTAATCTCCATGTTCATTATCTCGGAGACTGAGTATCCGACATCTAGGAGACTGTGAGACGGTAACATCTGATTGAGACTGCTCAATCTTACTGTCCTATCGCAGTGCTCCTCAAACTTCACTGTCAAATAAAACAAAGATTTTCATTCCATCTTCAAATGCATGATTATATTAAAAGAATTTTAAAACTAGTCAGATCAATTATCATTTTAAAATATTAAATACTAAAATTAATAAAATATTTTTCAGACATTAACAGCACATTATTTCTTGAGATTGATAAATTTCTGAATTTCTCAGTGATTGCAGATATGAAGAATTCTGTATGATTGAAATAGGTGTCTCTCTCTTATAGCTTACTTACTCTTAGTTACTTATTTGATCAGCTGTTACAATTACTTCAGGTTCAATTGATAGCCTACCTGAGATAGATAAACAAGCCATTGCCAATAGATAAAGATGACTCTGGTCCACCTCTAGTTTATCCATGAAAAAGTCCAGCAAGTGGACAGCTAAATGTTGTGAGGTGGAACCTAGATAAAATGTCTCCACCACAATGGCAAGCCAGTCCACGAGGTGGCGGCGGAACCACATCTGTGGGGAGTGTCCATGGTAAGGAGGCAGGTGTTGTTCCTTTGTACGTAATGTTTCAAATATGTCCCCAGAGATCTTGTTTTTCCACCACTCTACTTCCATCATCTTTTACATTTCTAATAAGTCTGCCTTCAAATCACGGTTTCCATGCAGACTATTCTTAATCAATATGGAGCATCTGTTATATCAAAGACAGAGTTGGTGAGGCACTGAAAAAATAAATAAATCCTTCCTGTATTAAATAATTCAATTCCACTGTTATTTGTGAGGAAGTTGCATTTGATAAAAATCCTTTCCTAAAACACAATATTAGACAAAGAACAACATGACAGAGCTGAATACAGTGTCAGTTCCTTCAGGAGTGTAGACCATTCTTTATAGCTTCAATATTTGTTGAAATAAGCAGCTTAAAATTATCAGTGTTTGTATAAAAGCTGTCAGATCCTCCAGATTTTTAGTAACCATTCCAGTGACTGCCACCACAAGCAATCTGTCTGTGCTAATTAACTCAAAGTCTGTGAAAACTCGGAGATGACCAACAATTAGATCACGGCTGTAAAAACATCCTGAAGTGGTAAAGTAATTGAACTTCAATGGCCTTTGAAATCAGCACTAATTAAATCCAGTTTTATTTCTCAGTGTCCAGCTGGGGGCATAATACAGTGGACTAATCTCAAATGATTTTCACACTTCAGAGTAAAATTGTTACCAAAACTTAAATCCATTTAAAGAAAAAAAAGAACTAAAAACTATCCTCTAATGAATATAAATCTCCAAAATTTCCCTTTCACTGGAACATATGAATTTTATTAATGTATTAATTAAGTTAATTAAAAATGATAAAAGGGTTTGCAGTATTTTCTTAGAAACTTACTCAAGACATTTAAAATATGAATTTTGATTCAATTCTAAATAGCAAAAATAAACTTGTTTTAATTTTACTAACCTTAGAATCCAAAAAAATTTAATTTACCAACACATTGAGGAATACTTAATGTGATCAACTTTGCCTGTGAATTTATGATAAACGCGATGTATAAGCCTATAGATATACTCCTACTATAAACATTTCCTCTTTTTTCAATGTGCAATTCATTCTGTTCGATTTCTAGGGCTTCAGGGTGATGTAAAAGCAAACTGGTTTCCACGGGCTATATTTTACTTACTGTGAATAAGATGAGAAAGAGACGTTTTATCTATGTAACTAAACATGTAAGATTATCCCCGATAAAAAGTTTTATTGATGGTCAGTTAACACGTGGGACTTGTAATCCAGACTTTTACAGACACCTGTATGTCCTATCAATGACCCGCTCTTGGGCCGAAAAAGACAGGAAACAGATTTAATGCTACTGTTAATATTACGATAGCGATTTTATCATAACAGTCTCAGCCACACCATCAGTTAATTGGCAATGAGAACTTTCGATTATTAGCCCCCCCCCCCCCCCCCCCCCCCCCCCCCCCCCCCCCCCGGAGAAAAATTCTTGAGGTACAGGAAGTTTTATATAAAAAAATATAGTAGGCCTAGTATATATAGATCCCTTATAAGACTAATAGACAAAAAAAGAACACCGGGCCTTAAAAATCTATTATCTTAGTATATTTATATATTATATTGACATTTAAAATAAAACACACCTCAACTTACTTCTTTGCGTCTTTGTCTAGAGCTAGCTGAAGCTGATACACTTTTTACCCAATCATGCAAACGCTTTCATCATCTTGGTCTGGTTCTCTCCCCCCCGCCAAGGCAACCTCACACGCGCGGATAACATCGTCACTAAGAAGAGTAACTCAAGCCAAAAGGTGCGTTTGGTTGCGTGTATAATAATATTTCACTTGTGGTGGGGGGGGGGGGGGAGGAAAAGTGTTATCCTTTTGCCAATTTCATGTACTTTATCAATCTAATTTGTTTAATTTTATATAAGTTTTAACGTACGGAAAGGTTTAGGGGGTTATTTATTCAAATGCGTGAATTATTAAAAAATCTGGTGATGTTTTAAAGTCTGGTTTTATTAGAAAACATTTCTGACATCCTTATAAAAAATGATAATTAAGAGCAATGAAACATATGGAGATAACGGAAAAATACAAAATACCAGTATTCAAGATCAAAAGTACAGGCACTTGTTTTCAAATAATAGCGCATTTACAAAAGAAAGGAGCTGCAAATTCATTATTTTATAATATATAGTTTGTGTCTATGAAACAAATGGAGATAACGAACAGTATTCAAGATCAAAAGTCCATAAAAAAATACAAAATAGGAGCAGAGCAAACACAGACCTCCAAAACATCAAGGTGGGATCAGGTGCCAAAAGGTCACACCCGCCGTGTGCTTTGTCATGATTTAACGGAAAAATCCGTATCATAGTGTATACAAATAATGGACTAATAATTAGTATGAAAACTATGGAACGCCCACTGCCTTATAGCATACAACTATGCATTTATTATGTCAATTTATCATTATGTGATGTGAACAAAATGTCAATTTTTTATGTTATGTAAAAATGTCTTTACATCATGTCAAAGCTGCATTACATGAAGTAAATACATCCTTTCATTATGTCAGCACTTCATAACTTGAAGTCGAAAATTCATTATGTGAAGTGATAATATGTTTACATTGTGTTAAAACTTTATTACGTGAAATGAATGTTTCTTTACATCATTTCATTTCTTTAATATGTGAGGTCAAAATTTTACGTCAAGTGAATTGTGTTTTATAATTAAACTTATCATTACATGTTTTAGAAATTTCTATATATCAACATTATCAATCTAATTTGTTTAATTTTACACATAAGTTTTTATTACGTGGTGTAAAAAGTGTAAGGTTCTTTATGTTATATCAACACTTTATCACATTATGGGGTTAACTCTTTATCATCAAAAGTGCATTACCTGATGTAAAAATACATATTAAAAAATATCTGGTATAAAATGAATGTTTTAAAGTCTGGTTTTATTAGAAAACATTTCTGACATCCTTATAAAAAATGGTAATTAAGAGCAATGAAACATAAAAAAATTAGGAGATAACGGATTTTCGGGCTTGGAGTGGACAATTTGTTTTTTTGGCTTCTCAAGTTTTTTTGGGGGGGCGAACATTTTTTTCTGGCTGATTCAAAAAGACGATACGTCAAAAGTAATTTTTTCAACCATTCCAGGGCACTTGTTTTCAAATAAAATCAGTTGAATATGCCTTAGTAAGCATTTACTAACGGATATGAGAACAAAAAAAAAATGTCCAAGCCTGAAGGGGGACGGTTTATGGTTGGAGACAATTTCATTATTTTATAATATATAGTTTGTGAAACTAATGCAATGATACAAACAATAAATTTATTAATTTTATGTACATGTAGATTTTGGTCACGAACAGTGCACGTGTGTTATACGATGTGTTTACACTTTAAAACAAAAGGAGTTCCATAAAAAAAACTTATTACAATGTTCTTAATAGAAGTTAAGACTTTTAGCAAAAAAAAAAAACAAACAAACAAACAAACAATTCAAAATAAAAAGAAAAAAAAAATTGCTGCACCATAATATTTGATTTATTTAATTATCAGATTAAAGTAAACGCCATTGAATTTCGACGTGACTTTAATTCACAGTCGCAGACTTTGCACGTTTCAAGATTGTCAATCCTTTGTCGCTTAAAATTTTTATTTAAAGATGCCATTCCCAAATCGCTGAGATTTCTTCTACGACAGTTTTCTCTCCCGCCAATTTAGTGCACCGGTCACACCCGTGTTCCGTAATAGTGCACCTTAGTGTGAGTTAATATCATAAAGAATTGACATAATGTAATGATAGGTTAACACAATGTAATTGTTGTTTAATTACATGTCATGAACAAAACATAACGAAATGCAAGAATGTGTAAATGTCATAAAGTGTTGACAACTCAGTGTATACATCAATAATATAATGGACTAATAATTAATGTCATAAAGAAAACTATAATGTCACAACGTTAGCATTTGACATAATGTAATGATAAATTGTATTTGAAGAGTTGACATAATGACAAGTGTAATAGTAGTGTGAGTAACTGTCATATGGAGTTGACGTTATGTAAAGGAAAGTTCACACAATGCAATAGCAGTGTGACTAAATGTCATAAAGAGTTCACATAATGTAAAGGAAAGTTCACACAATGCTATAGTAGTATGAGTTAATATCATGTTCAAATTCACAATGTAATAGTTGTGTGAGTGGGTTGATCATGCAGTTGTTGTGTTCTGCTATAAGGCAGTGACGGCGTTCCATAGAAAACCGTCAGTTAGCATTTGACTTAATGATAAATTGTATTTGCTGACAAGGTCATTGTATCGACCATAGAACTTACGAAATGATGACTTTAAACGAGACTGTTCAAACGTAGAGCATGCCCTTGAACTATTTAATGCTTGTATTTTGACACTTGTATTAATTAAAAATATGAATAACTTATATAATTTTATAATTAATGAAATCTTCTATGTGCATTCAAGTTCATAAAAGTTTCCAAGGATAAAATACCATCCATATCGAATATTAAATGGGTGTAAAATGTTGGTGGTAACTACTCAGTTTGTGGATGTTTTCCGTCATGTATGAATCAATTTTGATGACATGTATTTGAAACCCCACGATTTAAGCAACACATCTTCACCACAGGGCTACATGATATTTTTTACTTACGCAAAGTCATCCCCAAGTAAACAACTCACTCAGAAATGAAGAAATTTTCTTCTTCACCACTATCGATCGAGTTGTTATTTTTAACATATTTTATACAATTCTATTATCATATATAATTATGGAAATTATACAAAATTTACTATGAAATCGTAGTTTTTTCGAAGGGAATTAATATTCGCTGTTAATTTCAGGTTTGCTGAGATCAACACATTTACACCCCTTGAAATGTAAAGATTTCACATACCGCGCTGAACTAATTTCTCTTAAATATACTCGAATTTTAATTTTTATCCGACTCAAACAAATATTTTTTTAAGCCCAAGATTGACCCCACAAGCATAAATTATTAAATACAATTAAATTACCTAGAACATGTATAGAACTGAACCAATCGATCCATTAATATCATCGATAACCAATGTGTCCCATGTACATGATGTGCATTAAATTTTCAGTGATCCCTTTCCTTTCGGCTAGACATTTTGCTTTTGATGGTTACAAGAAGGAGCATAGATAGAAGGTTTAATAAGGTGGTTTCAACTTCAGAAATTAAATGCTGATTTTATCAGGAAAAATATTAAAATATCTAATCTGGGACAAGGCAAAAAAAAAAAGCAAACAAAAACGGCTGCTTACGAAATTTCAGTTTTTCTAAAATTTATTTGAACTCGATTAAGATTTTATCATATATTACTATAAAAAATGGATACCAAACTCAAATACATAGCATATTGTTGAAAATGTGTCGTACTTTATAACTGCTAAGATAAACTATTTTACAGCTGTTTGTGCACATGCAAACCTACACGAATCTGTTAAATGTTGAAGGAGTTATCTTTCTTGGTTTGTCGTGCATGTTATTTAGGTTATAAGGAAATACATTATCTTCTGCATAAATTGATTTTCTTGTAAATAGGATTATACTTTAACATTCATTTAACAAATATTTTGACCAAAATTCACTTATACTGCCTTTTAACAGGTGAAAACGAGCTGTGAAAAAAGTTATGCGCATGCGCTAAAATTCTTAATGGAGACCCCTAAAAATGGCGGAGCTAAAAAGAAGACCTGGGGCAATTTCAAAAGGCATGAAACTGCCTATAACAATTGAAGATGCCATTGACGACGTCTTAGTTGTATGCCTTGAACATGGTGCTAAACTTTTCAAGGGTATTTTATTGGATATAAATAAAAGGTAGCTAGAAACAATGTCACAAACACGAGTAAAATATTCATGCAACATAGTTGTTTTCTGAACAATCCTCCAATTATTGTACTTAAATTATGTGACAACAACCATTATATATCATATTTTTGTTTCTTTTAATTATAGAAATCTGCCACATGGTGTGTGCATGCCTTTCTCTGCGAACGGGGACAGTTCAAAAGATGACCCTAACGCACATTCTGTAAACAATAATGCACATGATGTTGAAGTTTCAGCAACAAATTTCCGACACACTTATAATCGTGGAAATGAAGAACATGTAAACAATTTTATCTTACGTTCCAGCAAAGACCGGCCTGCACGAAGCATCCGGCTGCGTCCCAGATCTACATTATGTAGCAAATGTAAGTCCGTGTGTCAGGAAACAGAAAAAGGCATCATGCCTGTTCAGCAAATTGTGAAACAGAACACACAAAAGAACCAAGTACCTCAGCAGTCACTACGAGAAGGCCTGCGGAGGCGTTCCGTCCAAACTAAAGATCCTCCAAATAACAGCAAGCAGACAGATAATAATAAAAACTCGGTTGTTACACGATCTAGTCCATTCATTAAGATATCTATTGGTGAAGGAACAGTGTTAAAAATTCCACCCCGTCTGCATGATGAGGTGGATGGAAGTACTGCAAAATCAAAAACTAAAACAGAAACTGTGAAAGAGGAGAGTTTTCCAGAGCAAGACAAGAATAGGAGAACCAGTAAAAGGAATCTCCGCAAAACTAAGGATCGTGCAAAGCGTTTGGAAGAGGAACCTCAAAAAGAAAGTGAAACTACAAATGAGAATGTAACTAGTCATCACAAAAAACATAAACGTAAACATAAACACAAACATGGAGACAGCGAAGAAAAAAATCAAAATACAACCTCTGAAGGTGTAGATGAGAATTTAGAAAGTGCTATAGAAAATCAAAACGATGGTGTTTCCCAAAGACCAAGGTTACTGTATACATGGCGACAGAATAAAGGCCTCTCACCAAGGCGAGAAAACACGACAGACAATATTGAAAATGTAAATAAAAACATTTCCAGAAAGCAAAATTTCCCTGAAAATCTTTCACCAAAAAGAAATGTTCGATCTAAAAGTAGTGAACTGGTGCAGAAAAAGGAATATAAACTAAGGAGTCGAGAGCGACTAAGTGTTGATTCCATGGAGAGTAAGAAATCGGAGGAGAAAGTTCAGGAAGAGGATGTGTCTTGCGGAGATGTGGGCAATGAAAATGAGTCTGAAGTGAACATCAGCGAAGAACAGATGCCAGATTTAGACATGGAAAATCAGGATACATCTCGAGACATTCTAGATTGTATAGATGCTTCAGACAGTGCTCCTGTGTACTATAATAACCTTGATGAAAAACATACAGACTATTATCTGCATGCAAATCATGATTATGTTGTGACCTTGAATAGTACAAACAGTCTTAGTAACTCTATAATGAGCACAAGTTCCGAAGGACATGATAAATATGTGATAATTGACACAGACAAGTATTCTGTGATATCTTCGGCGTCGGAGCGAGAGTTTGATTTCAAGGATGAGGATATTCCAATGTCTCCAGAAGCTGTGTCTTCGTCTGTGGTAATGCTTCCATCTCCTATCCACCATTTAAAACCATTTTCTCCTGCCCACCAACCAGATCCAGTCTCTCATGCTCACGAGCTGGAACCGATATCTCCTCCACCTCCACCAGAACCTACGGAAGAACCGGTCATAGAAGAAGAGGAGGAGAGGGAAGATATAGCTGATGCCCCGCCCACCAGTGACGATGTGTTCAGAACGCTAATGATGAAAATTAGGACTCGCGATGTGCCAAAGTGTATGGCTACGGACGGCCGAACAATTCATGTGGGAGATATTGTGTGGGGTAAAATTAAGGGTTTCCCGTGGTGGCCTGGGCGTGTTTTGTCCATAAGTGTGAGTGAAAGAGATGGAGGAATCGTGATTAGGAGACTGGCACATGTGTCGTGGTTTGGTTCGTCCACTATGTCACACATTCAGTGCTCAGACCTCTATCCATTTCTGGAAGACTTTAAGTTACGCTATAACCGAAAGAAGAGGGGGCCATATAAAGTGGCCATCAAGCAAGCCACAATAGCAGCACAGAGTGTGACAAATACCCATCATATTGATTTCAAAGAGTTTGATTTGTAGCAGTGACTTTACTCATCTATGAGAAATGTAAGCAAAAATTTTCATTTACCTGTAGAATTACATCTCTGTACACAAAGCTGTGTCAAAATGTGTACTGCTTTTCCTCTGTGTTCTTGAAAAATCTACATTAGTAGAACGGAAATGCTACTGAAGATTTATCATTCCTATTGATTATGTTGTAATACAGTAAATCATGCACAAAATGATCAAAAACTGAATATGAGAAATGGTTAATATTGGCTTTGCCTGCTGCCATGTTTCAATCAGTTAGTATTCTTGAATGGTATAAAAAATGATCAATTGACAAGAGGGTAAAACATGTATAACTTTAATAGATTAATACATTATAATTTTGTCTTTCCCTTTGAGAGAATAAAAAAAAACCATTCAGATAGGAAATTGCATAATTAATTTTTCCATTAATTAATGTGTATTTAACCAGTTACCTTTATGTCTTTGTAGCTCACCTGATCAGTACATCCTGCCTTAAGGAGTCTCCATCCTACTCAATCCGTAGTGCTATCTCACATCACCTGATACCAGTGTCCATTAACACACAGATTTCACCTGACTACATCTAATACCAGTGTCCACTAGGGAATCCCACACGAGCAGATTTCACTTAACTGAGTAAATTTTCAGTCTATAGCCAGACTGGGAGTTTGTTTTTTGCTAATAAATTGCTGATAAATTGTTAATATGAATTATGATTTCCTTCAAGTGAAGATATGAAATATGCATAAGGGAATTTTCATTTGTAAAGCTGCCAGAATGTAAACATTAATTATGATTGTGCCATTTTCATTATTTGTTAGTTGTACATGTATACCTCAGCATTTAATTGTTCCCGAGTCATCGAAACATTTTATATTGATATACATGGTGTATGTTGTTTTTTGTTTTGATGACTGAATGTGCTTTTTTGTTGGACCAAGTTTTATGGGCAATTCATTCATTATCTAGCCATGTTAAGATGATCGTTATGTTCCAGTGTTATAAGGGCTGATGCTTTGTAGAAAGGTGCCAGTGTTTTCCAATTTTTGTTAGAAGTAAGACAAAAGTATTATATGTAATGTGAGTTGCTATGAATTTGAAAAGTATCTTTAGTGATTGTGTTTGGAGTGATCATTCTATTTGAATCTTAAATATTACACTTGGAATGCAATATTGCAAAATTGTTCATCCTTTTATGGCCAGTATTTTTGTTGAATCAATACACATGTAAATTGATAGTAAGAAAGTTACATTTGAAGGGTTTTCATAAAATGTTTTATATTTGAAAGTAAGTGTTGACTGTTGAGCTCATCTGAGCAAAAGTCTGACAAGAGTCCTAGGTGAGCTTTTCTGATCAAGATTTTCATTTCCTGTTGTCTTCCTTGTTAATTGGCACAGACTTTTAACACTGTCAACTTTCTTACCAGAACCATTGGGTCACTTTCCATCAATCATGCAACAAAGATCTATTGGTTATAGAGGATTCAAATTTCTTCAACCATTTTCAAAGGGAGATAATTGGAATTATTGAAAATTTAGTGGCATCTTTTAAAAATTGTCTTCTCAAGAATCAGGGGGTCAGAAAAGATGTGAAAGATTCTTGACATTTTGATTATGATTAAATAACTCAACTTCCGTCTATTGCATATCAAAGATATAAAGATGGGGAAGAATATTTTAATTAAAAATCTGCTGATGGAGGCAGGGCCAAGATTCCAAAGATGATGATCTGGTGCATGCTGGGCGTATGTTTTTTTATGCATGTCAGTTTCAGTATTAAAATTTTTGATTGTGTCAAAATATTCTTGGATGATGAATCTATATACATGTGTATATTTTATTTTTCTGCCATGCACCCTTGTCTTGTCAGTCTTTTTGTCATTCCATCATGTGTGTCCTTTCTACTTTTGTGATTACTTACCCTTTTGATATAAATGTATAAACAGCTCAGACAGGCTCTTTACCATATACAATGCAAATCATATCTAAATTGACTTTAAATATTATTACAATGCATGTTGTTTTTTAATGTAGAGACAGAAAAATATTATCTTGTTTAAAATTTTTACATAAAAAAATGCCATGTAAGTTCTCATTCTAGTACTTGTCATATACTAATAATAACTTTCTTTACAAGCATGAAATCAAAGAATAATATTAGGACTGCATGTACTTTTTATGTTAATTTTTTTTTCTAAAGCAAAATCATGGTATGTAAATAAGAATAAGTTGAAGTATTGAGAATTTATCAAGTATGAAATTTGTTCCAAATCTACAGTGAATGGTTAATTTCTAAGATAAGTTATATTTTTGTATGAATGAAGTTATAATATGATCATATTGCATGCTCGGGTATGGAAGGGCATTGTGTACTGTGAGATTAAACATACATGTAAGAATGAAGATGTGATTTGGTACCACCTGTTTATTGTACATTGTATAGTCTTTCATGCTGTACCACTAACGATATCAATTTTGAGCATTCTGATGAAATTCATTTTTTACAACAGATAGAAATCTGTAATATCAATCACCCTCTATCTCATAGCTTGCTCATATCTCACTGCTAAGTGCCCTTGAATTTATATATTTTGTATTTTGTCATGTTTCCATGTGGTAGGATCTTTTGTACAGATGCAGTGTCTATGTATGGGCAAGTTTTTCTGTCTCATGAGTTTCACTGTTCACAGACATTTGTAATCCAAGGATCTTCTTTGTTCACCAGGAGATTTTTCTTTTCCACTAGTCAGATAGATGCTTGATGAGTACAGTTTGTTATGAAGGGAGAGTCTATTTTTATTCAGCCATTACTTTGGTTACAGAGTGATATTGAAATATCCAGTACAATAAAACTGGGAAATACTTCTGACTTTTGTTGTTCATTATATTCTGAGTGCATCCCTAAGTTAACTGTATTATTAAAAATCATTGACTGAAGGAAAAAAATGCATGAGTGTAAAATCCATAACCACTTAAGCATTCATTCTTCAATGAATAATCTTCTTCAGACATTAAAAATATCTTAACTTTCTATAGCAGGAATATACTGTATTTTTACAGTCAACCAATACATCAAGACTTGTTTTTCACAAAATAATCTTAAATAATTGTCCTTTCATAATTGTCTATTAAAGAATGGAGGCGTACAAGGCAAGGACAATCCCCCGCTCCGAGAAAAGACATTTCTCGATTCTAAACGTTCATGAAAAGTTATATTTTTAAAAGTTATATGGTTAATATCATCTTTTACACATTTAGTTCTGTATTTTATTGTTTTAATATTTTATTAATATTTATTTTTCACTCATGTTTTTAACATATGTGAAAACAAAAAAAAAAAGCTTCCTGTATGATTCGAACTCTCTCCATAGTGCAGGGTTTGGCACAAGACCAAACGCGTTACATGTAACCACTAAGCTACAAGTATATGAGTTATCGATGACTGTCAGTGTGATTTAAATGAGCCGGATTGTTGAAGAGTACATTTTTTTCCAGAAATGTTCCATTTTCGTATAGAATGGGTTCAGATTCCATTTTTTGGACAAATGAAATGATTTCACTTTAACGTTTCCATCATTTCTGTGTTAAGGAAGAATGAAGACGACCCATTCATGCTTAAAATTCATTTCCCACGGCTCTGTTAAACCCATTTTCCACTAAATATGCTTAACTGTCAACTTTGAAAAAAAGATTGTCAAATAATAAGCCGTTCAGTAAAATAAAAAAATAAAATGTTTTGAAGAAGGATATGGAGATAACAAACAGTATTCAATCTCAAAGTCCATTAAACAATATACAAAATAAGAGCAGAGCAAACACGGACCTCCGAAACATCAGAGGTGGGATCAGGTGCCATGGAGGAGTGAGCATCCCCTGCCGACCGGTCACACCCGCCGTGTGCTCGTTATCATGATCAGGAAATAATGGAAAAAATCCGTCATCAATTCAGTGTATGAATAATGGACTAACAATTGGTATGAAAAACGTCAGTCAGCATTTGACTCAATGATAAATTGTATTTGCTGACAAGGTCATTGTATCGACCATAGAACTTACGAAACGATGACTTTAAATGAGACTTTTGATATTCTTGTTTCATCAACTTGCTTGTCAATAATATGACAATAAGATGACATTACTGAGAACATGATTTTAGAGAAATATAACTTTTCCGTGAATTTTGAAAATTGAGAAACATATCTCGGAGCAGGGGATCGTCCACATCTTGTAAGCCCTTTTTCTTTGTATTTTAAGGTCCCTCTAGATACATGCACTAATGTTGGCTTTATGACGCTGAGAAAATTATATTTTAGTAGGGTCTAAATACTGAATTTCAAGGTTTTTCAATTTCAACATAGGGTAATATGGTAATGATTTATTATAAAAAAAATGATTTATTACCAGTTTTTGTGGGGGGCCGTACTTTTTCTGGAACAGTTGCAACGTAATTCTTAAATGTTTAATGTACTAATTTAACAAATAAACATTTTATTCATAAAAAAATGCTAAACCTGCTAAAATAAGTACTCATATTCCTTCGGCATCACTACCATATCTGAAATATGATTTTTTTTGTTATCAAAACTTCCAGTGTCTAGTTGAACAAAAGTTATATGAGCAACAATGCAGGATTTGTAAATACTGGCTGGAATGTGACACAAATAATTCAGAAACTTGCTGCCATCCTCACATAATGAAAAGGACCAAGCTTTAGCAATGTTAATGTCTTTTTTAACCACACAGTAATTGTTGCCTTATGCTTATCAAATTTTGCAAATAATTTTTTCTTCATAGGCTCGTTTCAAAGATGCACTTTTACTTAAAAAAGCAAGAAATCTAAACAGTTAAAAAGAAAAATACCATTTATTTTTCATTACAATATACATTGACTCTCACTTCTTCAACAATCATACATGTATGCATACAAAACCAATGATTTCACCTTTTTTAAAAAGATGATAAACAATGATGAAGAGCACTCAAATGGAAAGTAAAGACAATATCTAGTCCATACACAATTAAATTAACATATAAAACAACTCTACGAGCCAGCAGAGAAATGTCTAACATTGCCTTGGGATTTCTGTTGACCAGCAACTGTCAGGAGGAGGGAGGGCCCTGTTTGAAACTGATGTTGTATCCCCCGGAGTTTGGGTCTTGATTCAGCTGGAAGTTTTCTGTTGACAATCCAAATGGCTTCAGCACCATGTTACCAAGTTCTTTCAATTTCCCTGAGGATGTAAAGAAAAATACAATTGTTAATACCAAGATAAATTTTTAAATACCCTCCAGTAACTGTTCTATATGCAGTTTTAGTTTCCCCCCCACAAAAAAAACTTTTTTGTGTGTTATCACAAAGTCCCATATTAAAACTGTCATTTTTTGTGCCAAGCTATTCATGGCCACCATACTCAATAAGTTCTTTATTCAAATTCAGAATTCGTCTCTTTATCAGGCAAAAATTATGATACCTCTCAAATTTTAAACATTTGTAACTTCTTCAAAAGTTAAATGTGTTAAACGAGATGTTGAGGTTTCATATGTGTAAGGGTACGTCTAGCAGGTGAATTCCCTAAATTTCTTGATTTAAATATCAGTTTTCCATATGCTCCTAGAACTTGAGTTGCAAGCGTAAACTTGAAGCTTTATAACAAAAATATTAGTAAATAGTGAAAATATAACTGTTGCACATTATTTAAGATGCTGGGCTTCATGAGCACTTAATTTATCCAAGTTTTATTTACTATGTAAAATTAAAATGAAGCATGAAAGGTGATACTTAAATACATGCTACGTCTAGGTTATTTTGAAAGGGGTATTTTGTTGTTTTATATCTGAAACCTAACATTGAAGTTTGTTAGACTGATTCCTACCTATCATCTCCTCCTTCATCTTTTCATTTTTTTCTTTGATCTGGTCTGGTAATCTCTGTAAAATAAGTAAATACACTGATGAAATAAATAATTTCAACATTCACTCTATTACGATGTGTATTTCTAGGCAAAGTTTTCAACTAAAAATGAATTTTCTACATAAAAATGTTCTATCATATGCCAGGGATATCATCTGTTGAATTGAGTCAATGGAGTCCTAACCCTAAGTGAAAAATTTTACAAAGTTGAACCTCATTACTTTGAACTTGAAATATCTTGAATACTGTGGATATGAGGAAGTGATTTTAAAGTCCCCGTGATGGCAATCACATTTTCTTTTCGATTCAAACCTTGGTATCTTAAACCCTTGGATATCATGAAAGTTATTTGTGTTTATGAAAAAATGAAATTTGACTATTTCTACCAACTGGCGTCATATTCAAGATTTAATAATATACTGTAAAAGCAGAAAATTTTGTTGGGGATTAAATTTCGTTTATTTCGTTGTTAACGATTATCAACGAAATAAATCCAACACGAAATTTCCATATGACTATATATTGAATTGGACTAAATCAGAAACGACGAAATTTAATGCCCACGATAACAAATTGATAACAAATTGATAACAAATCAACGAAATTTGATTCCCATGAAAACTTGTGTTTCTACAGTAAATTGTTAGGCCTATGTATCCAGCAATTTCCACACATATCTTTTGGCTGTATCTTTTTTTAAAATATTTCTGTTAATCTGTTTGACCTACAAGACAAGCGGTCCTGGCGGAGTGCTGAGCGGGGTCCATCTCCACCACCTTCTGATAGTCTGTCAGTGCCTCCTCCAACTTGTCCACTTTTTCGTACAGCTCTGCACGTCGCAGCAATGCCTTCAGGTACTGGGGGTGGAGCTCCAGAGCTTTGTTACTATCCATTATGGCTTCTTCGTTCTGACTCTGGAGGAAGGATTGAAACAATAATTTGAAAAAGGTGCAGGTATCAATGTATTTCAACAAAGCTAAAATCATTAATATATATAACTAACAGGGTAAGATTGTTTTAAACAAAGGACAGGACCCCTGTAACATTTACCTCTTTCATTTTACATGCTGCTCTGTTAGAGTATAGAATAGCCCTGTCTTTGATAAAATCTTTCGGACACAACCTAAGAGCTCTAGTATAAGCCTTCACAGCATTTTCATATTCCTGCTTCTTGAAAAACTCATTTCCTTTCTCCTTCTGTGTCTGTGCTTCACTTCTTCTTTCCTTTGGAAAAAAACAGAAAAACTCTTTAATAGTGTTAAAGACAAATGATGTTTCTGAATGAATGACAGCTACTAGTAATTGAATTAAAAAAAATACATAATACTTATCTAATATGGATTACTTTTCAGATAATGTGTTAAGCTTAATTTTTCAAGAAATTTTTTTGGGGGCTTATGCTATCTGCATAACAGTCGCGCTAATAACTGAGATTATCTAAACATGTCATTAGGGCGAACCTACCTGTTACCTCTGTATACTACTCGTTATTAGGTATTTTAGCAGATCTGAGTTGTAGTTATTTCCTTTTTTTATAGTGCAGACTGTTTCATGTTAATAGTGGATATAATCGGCACGGCCGTTGTTGCAATTAGTGGACATAATGAGCACAACTATCATGCAAATAGCGAATATATTCAACATGACCATCATGCAAATACAGACTTCCTATTTTTTTTAAAAAGAGAAGTAAATGTTATTTACTAACTTTGTAATTCTAACTATATGTCTATATTATTTGGTTACAATACAAGTGATATTACTCAAGTAGCCTTGATTCTGTTGAGGTAAATGCCCCTTACCTGTTATTTGTTGATAAGAATCATACATGTAAACGCCCTTAAGAAGTTAAGTTACCTTTTTGACTTCCTCTGTCAGTATTTCTTCCAGCTCCTCTTCTTCATCATCAATAATGTTCTGATCCTCTTCTGCTGACTCATACTCACTCCCCGAGGAATCTCCGTCCTTTGACGACTTATCCAATTTACCTTCATCGTGAAATTTGTCATATACACTTGAATTTGCAGTAAAATCATCTGAAGAACTAGTATTTTCCTGTCTTTCATCAGATGACACAGAATTTGACATTTTTTCTGCCTCTGATGAAGCAGCCATCTCTGATCCAACAAATCTGAATTACTAGTAAAATAATTTAAATTTAACCATACTGAATATATGTTTGTCAATAAACTTGTAGCTGTTTTTCTTGAAATCCTCTTTAAGTTTAGTCGCCCTCTTCTCCCAGATTATGTCATTTCAATGTCAATCCTCATTTTTACCACAAAATTTTGTTTTCCCCTGCTGATAAACGCTGACGTGATGCAAATTTTAATTATAAAATATTAAAATTTTCATGATAAGACATAATAATTCCGAAATATTTTTTTCAGTAATATTTATACGGCGTATTTTTGACTAACTAAAATTAAGATTTTTCTATATCTTTTATTACTTTATAAACTTAGTAAGGTGTCCGTCGTCCGTACGTCCGTCTAGCTGACAGCTGTGTGTCCGTCTGTCTGTAAACAATCTTTCAAAATGTTAGTCCTCGTAAGTTTTGGTTTGAATTCAATATATAAACTTGGAACATATACTAAGATACAAAATTTTGTGCATCAGTTTTTAATTCCGAAGAATGGTGTTGCCATGGTTACTAAAAATAGACATTTCTGTGAAATTCCTTTACAATGCTACTCCTCCTACAGCTTTTGTCTGATTTCAATATAATTTGGCACACAAGTAGACATTCTATTTGTTACCATGGTAACTAAAAATAGAAAATTCTTTAAAATAGTTTGAAAACTCTACTCTCCCTACAGTTTTGATCTGATTTCACCATAAATTGATACTCAAGTAGACTACACTAAGGAACAGAATTCAAATAATTGCTGCCTGTTGCAAAATTTCAAATCCAAGAGCTATATACTTTTCTTTTGTTATACGTACAGAACAGTAGAGCTATAGTCTCATCAAAGACTTCTGTTTAAAAAAAAACAACAAAAACATGTAAGGTTCGACATCCTTCACCCAAGTCTACATGTATTCGCCTGAATGCAAAATTACTTCTCAGGGTCGAGGGGGGGGGGGACATTTCGCTCATTTTCAATACGATATGTGTAAAAAATGGATCAAACTCCAAGGTCAAGGTCAAAAGGTCAAATTTGGTGGTACCAAAAGAAATATATTGTCACAAGAAATACACACGTATATATGAAAGTCATAGCTCCACTAGATCTAAATCAAAAGTTATGAGCAAGGTAAAGTTTTTGCGGACAAACAGACAGACAGATGGACGGATACGAGAAAAACTATATACCCCCGAATCTTCGATTACTGGTGCATAAAAATAAGTCAGACATCCAATACTTATATTTTTTAGACTCATTTCCATTGACGGAACTCTACAATCTGCTGTGGTGAAGAAAAGTATTTTAGAAATGGCAGTGTATATGGCATTTTCGGGTATTGTCATGTTGTAAATTTTGAATTTACCAGGTGGGAGTAAATACAAAATTTACAACTTTTAAATTTACCGGTTTGGAGTTTTTTATTAAACAAAATTTAGAACATGACAACTAATAACTTTTGAATTTACCGAGTGGGAGTCAATACAAAATTTAGAACATGACAACTAGCTGTAATTGTTATTGTATTAACTTTCACCAAGTAAAATCAAAATTTAGAAGATGACAATATTATATGTTGCGCTTTTATCTTGAACAACATACCCTCAAAAAACAGCAACCGACATTTTGAAACCTTATTACGTCTCCACGGGACTAAGCCATTTTTAAACAAAAATAATATTTTTGCTTGCCTCTGAAAAAGAAGCGATGACTCGAGATTGTGACATAAGAATATGTCTGAATTTTGTATGATGTTATTTGTATGACATTGAAAATAAATGACTTAAAAGAACTATATGCGGTATATTGCATATGTTTGCCCCCACAAAAGTCAAATTTTGAAAACTTCCTGAAATGTGCTGAATTCAATAAATTGTACGAGAAATATAAGTTAACAGAAAATATTATAGTTCCAGAGCAGTGTATTCACAATTTCTGTTTTTATGACGTGACAAACTAGTCCGATTTTATATCCTTTTTCAGAAAGAGGACAAAATGGACAAAATTTCAACAATTTAAGCTTTAGAATTTATAGAGCGCATGTGTGTTCAGGAACAATATTGACATATTTCATTGATATTATCATTCTACACATTATATCAAAATATTAATCCTGAACACACATGCGCTCGGTGACTTTTATTTAAAATATCAACGAAATATGTACATTTTTCTGCAAAATTCATAAAAAACTGAAATTTACGTCATATTTGTGACGTCATTACGTACATATGACGTCATTACTTATGAAATTATTCAGTGCTTTGAAGTCAGCATATACTCCCCTGTTTAAGGACTTAATTAAATATTACTCCATCAAAGTTTGATTTTGGGGGGCAAATGTTGGTTAATACCGCATATAGTTCTTTGACTGAAAACTTTCAAAACCACACATAAATGAAAAACAAAACCAACAGCAACAACTGAATGACATATTTTATTTAATATAAAAATGTACTAATACAGATGTAGTTATTATAAACAAGAGAGAACATATATAGAACACTTGTTGGTGGTAAATGAGTGAGGCGCCATTAGTGTCACAATCTAGAGAACAAAATGGCAATGTCGGACTCTCGGAACACAACTGAAACCTCAGGGGGCTGAAAAATATTTAATGTTATTTACTGACTATTCAGACTTCAGTTGGTAAGTTAGAACTATACTGTATTTTATATTTGAGTTGACTAACCTTGGATTAATTGTACAGGTTACATTTGTGACACCATTGTCAGACAATTTTCTTCTTAGGAATTCCACCGATGGCCCCGAACAAGTCTCTCTGTAAAATAATATTCGTTAATAATGGGTATGTAATGAAAGAAACTATTCATAGAAAATGACGGAGAACATCTTTACACATCAGAAAACATAAAAATTTTGTAAAGGAATAAAACAGAAATAGAATAATGGTCCAAAACAAGAAATGATAATCAGGATATTAAACTCCTAGTAAAATATTTCAAAATGCTAAAAATAGCTTGCATTTATTATTATTATTAAACAAGATTATCAACACTTAACGGTCTTGTTTAAAGTCATCATTTCGCAACTATTATGGTCGATACAATGACCTTGTCAGCAAGTACAATCTGTCAATAAGTCGAATGCTGACTGACATTTTTCATCTTAATCGTTTAGGCCATTATTTACGTACTGTCTTTCACCAATCATGACAAGTAGCACAACGCGGGTGTGAACGTTCGGAAGGGGATGTTCTCCGTGGCATCTGATACAACCTCTGATGTTTTGAGGTCCGTGTTTGTTCTGTTCCTAATTCGATTTGAGTGGACTTTTGGGCTTGAATACTGTCCGTTATCTCCATATTTCATTTGACCTGTGGTGATCATTTGTTCAAACAATTCTGGGAATATTGTCACACCACCCAAACCAGAGATCATCGACAAGTTTCTAAAGAAGACATTAAAGGGAGAATATTGAAATTAGAAAGTATTAGAAATTAGATCTGAACAGAATATATCGTGTCTTGACCACAAGTAGGAATTCTTCAGGAATTATTGCAACACTTGTAATGAACCAGAATGGAAAGACTGTATGATCCTGCAACATACAAAACATGACTTCAGTGATCAAAAGAAGACCAGAACGGAGACTGAAAGATATAGAACCAACATTAAGAGAAGTCAATCAAAACTTCAAATTTTAAAAGATGAAGAACAGTGATTAATCCAAAAAAAAAAAAAAACAAGATGTGTTTGTGAAACACTATGCGCCCGGCGGCAACAAAGTTCAAAAAATCTATTTTTAGCATATTGGTCACAATCAAGGTCACAAGGTCATTGACCATGGTGTCATTTGAAAGGACTTAATCGGTGGAGTATGCATCCCAAATATGAAGTCCCTGTCTCCTATGGTTTAAAAGTTATGGCAAAAAGTGTAAAAAGCTATTTTTAGCATATAGGTCACAGTCAAGGTCACAAGATCATTGACCTTGTCGTCGTTTGAAAAGACTCTATTAGTGGAGTATGCATATCAAATATGAAGTCCCTATCTCCTATGGTTAAAAAGTTATGACAGACAGTGGAAAAAGCTATTTTTAGCATATAGGTCACAGACAAGGTCACAAGGTCATTGACCTTGGTGTCATTTGAAAGGACTTTATTAGTGGAGTATGCATACCAAATATGAAGTCTCTATCTCTTATTGTTCAAAAGTTATGGCAAAAAGTGTAAAAAGCTATTTTCAGCATATAGGTCACAGTCAAGGTCACAAGATCATTGACCTTGTCATCGTTTGAAAGGACTTTATTAGTGGAATATGCATATCAAATATGAAGTCCCTAACTCCTATGGTTAAAAAGTTATGACAGACAGTGGAAAAAGCTATTTTTAGCATATAGGTCACAGACAAGGTCACAAGGTCATTGACCTTGGTGTCATTTGAAAGGACTTTATTAGTGGAGTACGCATACCAAATATGAAGTCTCTATCTCTTACTGTTCAAAAGTTATGGCAAAAAGTGTAAAAAGCTATTTTCAGCATATAGGTCACAGTCAAGGTCACAAGATCATTGACCTTGTCGTCCTTTGAAAGGACTTTATTAGTGGAGTATGCATACCAAATATGAAGTCCCTATCTCCTATTGTTAAAAAGTTATGACAGACAGTGGAAAAAGCTATTTTTGGCATATAGGTCACAGACAAGGTCACAAGGTCATTGACATTGATGTCATTTGAAAGGACTTTATTAGTGGAGTAGGCATACCAAATATGAAGTCTCTATCTCTTATTGTTCAAAAGTTATGGCAAAAAGTGTAAAAAGCTATTTTCAGCATATAGGTCACAGTCAAGGTCACAAGATCATTGACCTTGTCGTCCTTTGAAAGGACTTTATTAGTGGAGTATGCATACCAAATATGAAGTCCCTATCTCCTATTGTTAAAAAGTTATTACAAACAGTGGAAAAAGCTATTTTTAGCATATAGGTCACAGACAAGGTCACAAGGTCATTGACCTTGATGTCATTTGAAAGGACTTTATTAGTGGAGTATGCATACCAAATATGATGTCTCTATCTCTTACGGTTTAAAAGTTTTGGCGAAGGTTAAAGTTGACAACAGACAGACAGACAAACAGACAAACAGACAAACAGATAAACAGACAAACAGACAAACAGACAGGACAAAAACAATATGCGCCCCGAAAAAATTCGGGCGCATAATAAACAATACAAATATGTGAAGAGGGCATAAAACACGGACCCCCCCCCCCCAGAAATTCCCTAGGTGGGATCAGATAACTAGGAGGAGTAAGCATCCCCTGTTGACCTGCCACGCCCACCGTGCCCCATATCGTATTGAACAGGTTGACGTAACTTTCCGTAGTCACATGCAGTATAAAAGAAAAGCCTTTATAATTGGTATGAAACAAGTCAGTCTAAGTACAACCCTCTGATAGGTTATATTTGCTTACAATGTCATTATAATAACCATAAAATTTACAAAAAGCCGAACTTAAAGGATGTTGTTGTATATCCTATGACATCAACTGGTCAGTAGGTAGCATGCCTCGCTATAAAAATTGATCGAACTCAAAGCAAGCCCTTCATAAGTGAATAAATTGGGAGACATAGGTACCATAAGCAGGTGAGAGTGGAATATCATTACATTAACTAGTGCTAATTGTAACGGGAACCGTTACAGATGTTCCCCAAACGCTCCCCAACTCCCTTTCGGTGCCATATTCCCTGTAAGCTTCATTAAATAAGACAAACTCTGTGCATTTTTGACTTTAACAACGTTTTTCCAGAAGGATACCAATTATATTCAATTTTTAGCATTGCACCCAAGCGCATGTGAATGCATGTGCGTTATGACCATATCATCTTGTCTTTCAAGAGTATTTTTAAATATACTCGTTTCAAATGCACGCACGTGCGTGCACGTGCATGATGATCATACCTTCTTGTAGGAGTCCCTTACATCTATCTATGTTCTAAATCCCATCCTGTTTGGTTGAAATACAAGGGAGTTATAGCCATTTAAAGTTTCAGCCAATCAGATTGCAGCACACGTGCATGCGCGTAATTTCATGATTTTTTTTATATCATTTTGTAGGATATCCTAATGCATGACTATATTTTAAATTTCAAAGAATTTCGTCAAAAAACAAAGGAGAAATAGCAATTTAAAGTTTCAGCCAATCAAATTGCGGCACACGTGCATGCGCGTGATTTCATGATTTTTTTTTCTATATCATTTTGTAGGATATCCCAATGCATGATTTCAAAGAATTTCTTCAAAAAACAAAGGAGATATAGCCATTTAAAGTTTCAGCCAATCAGCTTGCAGCACACGCACATGCGCATGCTTTCATGAAAATTCTTATATATCATGCGGTAGATCATTATAATGTAGGACTATGTTCAAAATTTCAAAGGATTATGACAAGAAACAAGAAAGTTATTGATACTTTAGTTTCAGCCAATCAGAGCAAAGCGCACGTGCATGCGCGTGAAATCTTGCTATTTTGACCATGCTATCTTGTCTCTACCACTAATGTATCCTTACATAATGAGTTTCAAAAAATTTCATCAAAAAATAGAAAAGTTACGACAATATCCATTATATTGGTAATTTCACCTAATGCACGTGCGCGCTCTTGCAAGCACGTGCGCGCAAAATGACCTTTGTTTGGCAACTCTACATAACATGCCTACTAACCCTAAAAAGGTTTCACCTAAGTCGGATGTGTAGTTTACAAGATCACTCGTGGACAAAATTTTCCCAGGAAGAAGAAAAATAATAATAATAATAATAATAATAATAATAATAATAAGAAACAGAGTAAAAACAATATGTTCCCCAACTTCGTTTGGGGAACATAATAAGGAAAGTTAGCAATGAAAAAGCTGAAGTCATCTGGTTTGTCATACAGTTTAGTTGTTAGTTGACCCTTATCGTCTATAGTCAATTAAACATCAAAATTTGAAACGGTTGCAGCAGTCTCTGTGGGTTTTTCAAGCTCACTGGGTTATGTTTTGTATCCCGCAACATGCAAACATGACTTCGTTACTCAAAAAAGACCAAAAGGGAGACTGAAAAGAAATTTGAATCAACATTTAGTGAAGTAATTGAAAAGCTGTTTCAGGTTTTGTGTCAGATGTCTTAAAAAATAATATTAATATGAGCCGATGATTTTGTGTGATATTAGATATTTCATCTCGAAGTCAAAAAACAAAAATATGTTTTGCAGAACTGCTAATGGAATATAGAAAGAGAAATTCGTGATATCGTTGAAGAATGTGAGAGGTTTTCAGAAGATGCCAATTTTTTAGCAAAGTCAGTTTTTGATTGTCTCCTTTTCTTGATAACTTTTGGCAGAAGATACATCCCCTATACAGAAAAAAAATTAATTCAAATGAAAAAAAAAAAACTCAAAAAGATCAGATGTTAAAATATCTTAAATCATTAGAATTTGAAGCTTCAGATAATGGTATTTCTAAATTAGATGTTAATTCGATAACTATGTTTATGTTCTGTGCGAAATATTTTGCGCAAGAATGAAGGAAAAGGATGTAACATATAAATTTCAATAGATATTAATTTAATGATAAATACAGATACACATGTATTTACTTCATTTCGTTATAAGGTGAAATAGGTTAAATGCTACTATTTTGGCTGAATTAGCATTCTTATGCAAGAAAGATGTTTTTATTATAAATTATCCATGGAGCAAAGAACTTGGTACGAAATGCAACTTTTCAATTCTGTTAACAGAAGTCGTTATTGATGAATGTAAAATTGTGATATATAAATGTAAAAAAAAATGTCACTAGTCCCCTTTGGCTAAAAATAAACGTGTACTAATTATGTATCATTTTTATGAACTGCTTTTAAAATATAACATAGGACAAAGTGAGAATCCCTTTGTATTTATAAGTTGTGAGAAATTTTCATTTGATGAAGGGCTGATTGTAAAAGATAGATTTAATGATACAATTCTTTAAGAGAGGGAAGAAATGGATTGCATTGCATTACAGGTAGAACAAAACTTACCAATAACCTCTATGGTTGAGCTATCCATGCGTGCAGACTTCCCCCCTCGTACCCTCAGAAGAGGATTATTGTAATTGAATCAGCTAAGTCATGTATGCTGCAATGTTCCTCTTGCTGAGTTTTCCATGGTTCTGTAAATATAAACATTAATTCATCTGCATCCTTCTACGGGATTTGATTATGCTGAATAATTTGTGTAATCAAATCGTTCTTACTTCTATTTCACTACTTATTACAGCAGAGTACTCCCTTATAGAGCTTTGGAGACTTTATCTAGATAATGTTGGTTTATCAAAGGTGTGTTTGTGTTTTCACTAGTCTGTCCATGATTTCTGTACCATTGTCACTAAAATCGTAGATTTAAAGGAATGTAATTTTTATGCAGTATTATCTGCAGATATGCATGCAAGTCTCTGTTTTCTTTATCGGGTCAAGATTGTCATGATATTTTCGAAATATAAGGTAAGGAAGCATTTTCAAAGGGCTTTAAGACTATAGACTTTGTGTATGCATTATGTTTGTATTAATGTTTCCTTCGTGTTAATGTTCATTTATTTTAGCGCTTTAGGTTGGACTTACCTTCACTAAAGGGGAAAAGACATGGAGTTTTAAAATTTGATGTGCAGGTAAATTTTGTTTTGGCATTCTGAGAGAATTGCACAAAAGTTTTAAATCTTGGATTGTCTTTCAATACATTTTTAATTGTTTAACAATACATTTATCATCTTGGAATATCGCTTGATTTTTATCAATTAAGAATATCAAAAATTAGGATTCTGTTCAAATAAAAGAAATCGTGAAAAGGTTTCAAAATAAATATCAAAAAAATTCAAGATTTCAAGATTTAGTATGAATACAACAGTATCCAATGACAGGGATGTTACACCTATCCTCCTACCCGTGGTGTTCACTCTCTCCCAGGACAGGAATTCGTGGGAAAATGTCTCTACTATCAATCTACCCTTAACCCTCAGTCCTTTACGGACCAGTAAGTTTTGATTTGTTATCAAATAGTCATTTTGACACTTTACTTTTTTTCTGATAAAGATAGAAAATTGGACAATACTTCCCTAACTATATTGCATATGACATGGACATGGAGCTATTCTTCAAATGATTGACCACAATGACATTGTCTGCAAATGAAATATCCAGATATTATTAAATCATTAATATATATTCACTAGGGTCTAGGGCAATCAAATTTAACATGTTATCAATTTTATACTGTCTTTTTACTCACAGTAAAATAAATTGTTCTTCGCTGTGGGAAAGCTTCCGTGATGCCGTTGCCTTCCAGTCACCCTGTCACGTGGATAGTCGGAGGTTTGACAAGTTCTGTAACGAGAGTAAGCACCACGTGCCAAAGAACAAGGTAAGACACTGATCACGTGAGCTCAATGAACCAAAGCGTGGTAGTGAACAAGTCACCAAAAACATTAAAAACAATTTTTTGAATACTAGAACGTCAGAAAAAATTAAATTCTACGATATTTGTGAAATAGGATATCAGGTTTCAAAAAACGTATGGATCAATTAGTGACCTCAGTGAGCAGTAAAGTCAGAAAATGATTAATGGTAAACAAGACACCAAATCGATTCATCTAGAAATACTAGAACATCAAAATAAGCTAAATTATACATATTGTGTTTGATTTTATTGATTTTGTTTTTGGAAAATCTGTACGGCTTTGTTTTTATAGTTTGTGCTCTGGGAACATGCGTACGAAACAGTGATGAGATACAGCAACAGGGGAAAAAGAGATTTCACCTTCGCTGATACCCTTACAGGTAATACTCTATCTGAAAGACATTTTAATTTACACCTTACAAGTAAAATGGAAGATCACATTACACTTTACGTGTAAATTTCCTAACTGAAAGACATTTCACATTACATCTCAGAAGATAAGAGCAGAATGCCTCGAACAATATTTTCATTGCATAAAAATCAAAAGCTGAAGCATGAATATCCTTGGTTTCTAACAGAAAAGAGATAATTAAAGACAGAAAAGTTATTTCTTACATCAATAGTTAGTTACATCTATACAATGTAATGCTTAAGCTATTGATATCAGTGTTGGAGAAACCGTGTTAAACTTGTCAGGATGTTCATAATCCTATCAGAAGCCATTGGGACTGATCTTGTATATCAGCGAAACATTTAACCATTGTTTCTAAATCCTCATAGCGATCTCATTTGTGAACTTTTTGGTTAATTGCATCATAAAGAAGATGGGTGTTGCAAAATGTGGTTACTGTATGCCATATAAAAATGTAAAATATTGCAGGAAACCAGACTTTTATTCATCTTTTGTATAATTACAGTGTATGTTGAAAATATTCTCACTGACTCTTAAATCAAATAATGAATACATGGAATAAAATCAATTAACTAAAAACAGGTATTCTAGGCCTTAATGATTGTTACTTTGTTACTAATTAGGTTTCCTTGGTGATACAAATTTTTGCGGAAGTAACAGTTCGTCTGACGGAGTAGAACAGGACCGCAGTAAATGTCCTGGCTGGGATCAGACACCGGAATGTCCATGGTCAACAGGGGCCGCCTTTTGGTTAACGGCCTCAGAATATGTATAATAAATAAAACTTTTATAGTATCTTCATTTACATGCAGTTTATTGCTGTTTTATTATTTCCCCTTTCCAAAACATAAACAAATTTTTTTTTTATTATAAACAATATGATAAAAAAATTTTAAAACACTTTTCGAAATATTTCAACAGTGTTACCGGCCTTCATCAGTCGTTTCGAAAAGTGTTTTAAAGTTTTTTTTATTGTATTGACAAAAAGAGACTTTGGATAAACAATATGTATATATATTTAGAAAATAATAATTTCACCGCTTTCTAGTTTGATATGGTAGAACAATTAGATCTAAAGTTAATTAATGTCAATGATGTGATAACTAGATACTTTACATGCTCCTTGTTTCAGTACTCGAGAGCAGCTCATGGGGAGGTGGAGATTATGCTTAATGCTACATCAGTTCCCTTTTTTACGAATGAGTCGTGAGTATTGTTACAGCTCTCTATTTCTCGTAAGAATATTCAATCTTTATTCTCTAAACTGTAGTTTTGCGAAGAGTTTCCTGAGCTAACCGTTATATGAATTTACCTAATAGTATGCAATGCTGATTTAAACAAGCTAATTCAGAGAATTTGTGTCCCCCGCTTAGGGAAAAACAGTTTATTTCTGTATTCAAAAAGGCAAGGGGTCTGGGGGCCGCCTTGTGGCCTCCAGCGGGTCCAGGGCAGGACCCTGGTGGGGGCCCAGTTGATGGATTTTCAAGGTTTTATACATCAGAAAATTACCTAAAAAGTTTAACTTTTACAATCATAGTTTTACCAAATATTAACAAAAATTGCCGAGTTTTGACGATACACTTACAATCCCAAAATTCTATTTTTTAAAAGCATTTCATGTAATCCTGAAATAAGGCAAAACATTTTCAACCGTGGAAATCTTGCAATATGTGTTGAGTTCCGAAATCACAACTGAACCTTGAATTTATGAGGATGATATACCGGTAATTGATATTTTCAGAATTTTTTCCCGATGCAGTGTGAAAATAACAATCAAAATGAACAGTACCACATGAAAAAAACATCTCTGCCTTAATTTGATCAATTGAATGATAATTTTCATACTCAAACACTGTATATACTATATACTCACATTATGTATCATAATAAGTGCCACAGTTTAGTTATTTTTCAAACATTTTTTCCTTATTGTAGCAACTTTATAATTACATTACCGCAAAACTGTTTTGAAATTTTCTGACGAAAAAGAATTTATTATGATAGGCAGTAAAACCTTTATAGGCAGAAAATTCAATGTTCTACACGGTAGTTGCTATGAAATTTATTTTACAAGTTATAGCTTTTATAAAAATCATATTTACTATGAATTATATGAATTTATATGAATTCTATATACCGCTTTATCCACACACCAAAAAATATTCTCCATTTGTTACATGTTAAAAATTTAATTGTTTTTAAATAATAGTACAAGTTTGCAGTTACTTATTAAGGGAATAGGTGAATAAAACGGATTAAATGAATTGACTTATTTGCTTTTACTTTGAAATGACACAACTTTACAATTCGCCCTTGAAATTCTAAAATGATTTTTTAAAACGATATGTACTCTGTTTCAAAGATAGAAGCATAATATATTACCGGTATTTTATCATATTTAGCACGTAGAGGTAAACAGATCTAAGTTACTTTAAAATAACCTATTTTAACTCAGTCTTGTATTGTACTTCTGATTTGTTTTTCTTTCTTTTTTATCATTATTTCTTGTTAATTTTTTTGTTTGTGAAAAATCTATGTATTCATTTGCGTTTTTGCGTAAAGGGCGCTACGCCACTGAAAAAGTAAACCATGCGCAGTTCGGGGGTCGGGGGGGGGGGGGGGTCGGATCCCCTTGACTGAATTTGTAGAATTATTAAATGTATACATGTATACTGAAGCAAATAAAATATGCCAATATGGATATAAAGATTTGATTGCTTATTCTTTATTATGTGTATAGAAGATCCTTTTTATATGGAATATTTATCACACTGTAATGATGATTTTATGAGTTCGTGCAAGCCAGACCTCATAAACTTTTCATTTCACATGCTGAATACTATCATTTAGTAAAATAAAAAAGTATTTCGAAAAAAAAAAATGGATTCTCCGGGATGCGAACCTTGGCCCTCTCACATGTGAAGCGTGAGACATACCACTATACCACGGAGCCTCTTGTATATGGCGAAAATTATATACAAAAGTCACATACATGTATATATTTACGTTCGATATATTGTCAAAATTTACATAATGCATGGTGTCTAATTTAACCTTTATTAAACAGTTCTAATAGATGTAATAAGAATATAAAGTCTGCCGAGAACCTGGTTTATACGTGATAACTTTCCTTCATGCCCCTGTGCTAAAAAAGCGACATGTAATACAATAAATACTAATAAAACAAACGGGGCGGGACACTTTTAGAGGGGTGAGAGAGGTCCTAGGGACTTTTGGTATAAAATTACATTTCAAAAGCTCGAGATCCTTTTGAAATATCGCCCGAAAACGATAGTGTTACACACAAACAGAATGTATACATTTATGACCCTGAAGTTTGACCTGACCTCAAAATCAATAGGGGTCTTCCTTAAGCCACAGGGAGTTGTTATGTAAAATTTTATTGCAAAAGCTGAAAGGGTTCTTGAGATATCGCGCGGAAACGAAATTGTTATAACAGACAGAATTTGCGAATTTGTGACCTTGACCTTTGATCTTTGTCCGAAGAAAATTCAATGATTTATTAGATTTATTAGGCATTTTAATTCCTTCAACATCTCGCGTGTTTTTAAGTGTTACTCTGTTTTTCTGAATTTAACGTAGTACCAGACATTTCCCCAAAAGATTTTATTACTTTAATATACTTTTTTTAAGGATTCAGGATTTTTCATCGACAATGTGCATTTTATTTTATTTGATTGTCCAATTTTGAAACTTTGTATATTTTCAGAACCATTTATTTTTAACCATGGTTTCAATTACAAAGAGAAGAAGCAAGGCTGAGACGGGACATCCTTGTCTAATGCCTCTTGACATCGTACATTTTCTTGTTAACCAGTTATTATTATTAACATGAAAAGAAGGTTTGTGTATAAAGTTTTGATCCATCTAAGGAAATTTTCTCCATAGTGGAACTTTTTTAAGAGTTTGAAACAATAAAGTCCATTCAACTGAAAATCAGCAAATAACAGAATTTCTTCTTTATTATTTTCTTCACAATAATCGCATATATCTTGTATTAATCTTGCATTTTCACTAATAAATCTTCAGTTTCATTGTCATCAATGACTTTGTCCATAATAATTTGTAGTCTTTTTGCAAATATAAAAGGTATTATTTTATAATCGCAATTTGTTAAACTAATAGGACGGTAGTTATCAAGATTTATCTAGTACATTTTTATGTATGAGCGATAAAACAGAAGGTCTTTGTGAAGATGATAATTTGCCTACTTCAAATGATCTCACTAGGCTTTCATATAAATAAAATTTTACATATTTCCAAAACGCTTTGTAAAATTCCACAGGAATTCCGTCTAATCCTGATAATTTATTGAATTTCATATTATAAACAGCTTTTGCACATTCTTCAATTGTTAGAACTTTATCTTAATTTTCTTTATCTTCATCAGATAGGTAATTCCATGTAGTAAGTTCGGTTTCTTGTAAATATCTATTTTCATCGCTAATTGATCCCTCCTTTATGGCACCTGATCCCACCTCTGATGTTTCAGAGGTCCGTGTTTGCTCTGCTCCTATTTTGTACTGTTTTTTGGACTTTGATATTGAATACTGTTCGTTATCTCCATATCCTTCATATTGCTAGACGAATATAGTTCTACATAGTATGAACCTCGTGCATTAAAAATTTCTTGAGTTTCATGTACACAGATATCTCCTACCGATAATTTAATTATGAAATTATGTGATTGGCGTTATTTTCTAGTCTTACAAAATAGGAAGTGTATTTTTTCTAACCATCTTCGATCCAACGCGCTTTGGATCTCACCACTGCCTCTTTTGATTTATATGCATATAAATTAACTAATGCCATTTTATTTAATATAAAAGTGTACTCATAGTTATTGTAAACAAGAGAGAACATATATAGAACACTTGTTGGTGGTAAATGAGTGAGGCACCATTAGGGTCACAATCTAGAGAACAAAATGGCAACGTCGAATTCTCTGAACATAGCTGAAACTTCAGGGGGCTGAAAAAAAAACCAAATGTTATTTACTGACTAATCAATCTTCAGTTTGTAAGCTAATACTAGTATTTTATATATGAGTTGACTAACCTTGGATTAATTGTACAAGTTACATTTGTGACACCATTTGCAGATAATCTTCTTCTTAGAAATTCCACCGATGGTCCCGAACAAGTTTCCCTGTAAAATGATATTCGTTAATAATGGATATATATTGAAAAAAATCTAGTCTACCTGATTCATAAAGGATGATGGATAATAATAGCTTCATACATGATAAAACTACATACACTCCTCAATGATGCCGAAATTATCGAAAAATTACTAACCTCGGAGGCAAGGCAGAATTAAGGGCTAACAGAATATGGGCAGAAGTCACTCTGGGGCTCTTAAGATTGGGTAACTCAAATCGAATGAAATATCTACAACAGAAAACATGATAAAACAGAAGAAAAAAAACCAATTGCATGATCAGCAACTAATACATGAATAATCTATTTACGAATACTCTTTTTAATCTCAATATTGATATTAATTTAGAACTTTCCCCCCTAATATCTTAAGCTAAAGATTTCCATTGAAATTCTCGTTAAAAATCTGGATATTTTGCTCGCATTTGATGCGTTGAATTTGAATATTACAACTCAGTTTGGCAATGTTGCTAATTTACAAACAATGCCCAAACAAAAATAGGCTTAAAATATATAAACACAACAACATGTCCAAACCAGCTATCGAACATACCGATGTTCGAGGACGGAACACGACCCTTCTCACGAAATATAGCTTTCAAGAATATATTTGTGATCTAACTTATAAATTACCGTAAAATACTTTGCTAAAATTCTTATATACATATCCTAAATAAATTCTTTTGCAGAGAGGGGGAAATAAGGTACCCCAGTATTCACAATGATATATGAAGATAACGAACAATTATCATGCTCAAAAGTGCTTGAAACTATAGAACTATAGAAAAAAAGGATGAGGTTAAGATTAAAGAAAGCCTCTAAAATCACCAGAGGTTCATTACCTTGCAAAATGGCTTTAAAGTTTAACGAGACTGTTGGTATTCTTGTTTCTTGTTTCATCAAATTGTTTGTCAACATCTTGCATCGTTTAAGAAATTGTTCTTACGTATAACATACTCTTACGTATCATATCAACAGGAAGACATAAACCCCACAAGCAGAAAACGATTGTTCGGGATCATGGAGGAGTAAGCATCCCCTGTCTACCGGTCACATCCGCAATGTGTTCCTTGTCATGCATGTACGGAAAAACGGAAAAATCTGTAGACAATTAAGTGTGTCAAAAATCGCCTAATAATTAGTATAAAAAAACGTAAATCAGCATTTGACAAAGTGAACAAGGTCAAGGTATTTGCGCACAAGGTCATTGTTTTGACCATAGAAGTTGCAAAATGATTTTAAATTAAACGAGACTGTTGGCATTCTTGTCTTATCAAATTGTTTGTCAATAATTTAACTCGTTTAAGAAATTGTTCTAACGTAGAATATGCTCTTGCGTATCTAATCAACTGGGAGACATAAACCCCAGGAGAACATTTGTATAATATAATATCACTCAAAATAGTCATAGACAGATTCCAAAAAAGAAACTGGCCTGGAAAAAATTGCTAGGAACATAACATGGGCGCCAAATACAATCCATTAAAATAAGTTCTTTATAACTCAAAATTCAACTTAAAATACCCACCGATGAAATTAACTTTTTAAAATCGGTATTGCATACCGACCAAATTCATAATAAGGTTAGCTTAGGAAACACTTTGTAATATTACAGTAAGCAATTAAGATTTTTTCATCGTGAGAAAAGAGAACTGTGACAAAACTTACGACTCATTGGTAAAAAAAGGATTTGACGCAGCATTCAGCATGATTTCCACCTCACCATGGGCTGATCTTGAGTACTGAAGCCAGAAGCACGTCAAGTTTTCAGATTTCACATAATAATAATAGTTAAAACAAACTAACTCTAAGATCTATTTGTTACCAAGGCCGTAACTAGGCTCAAATTTATAGTGAGGCAGGGATTTGGGGCAATGCAAGCTCCATGCAAGTTTGTTTAGGGTAGAGTACTGAACTACTGATGGGGGTTCTTGGGGAAGGGAGTGTCTCGAAACCAAGGTTTTAATACATTAAGGACAGACGAGACGCTCCTAGATAATTAACTACCTGGTAATCAATTTACAGAAATTGAACTAAAAGTTGATAGTTTTGATTTAGTACAAAGACGCACATGATTAATTGAAGTTCAAAGTAAGACTGTTTCACTTTACAAAAAATTTTTAGTGAGGCATTTGCCTCACTTGCCTCAATAGTTGTTCGGCCTTGGTTACCATATTAAATTTGCAAGCGTTGAAATTATTATTACATTACATTCTTTTTTTATATATAACATATTATTCATACATATTTTTTTTCGAAAGGAAACTAATAAAACAGCAATAATCTGAGTGTACTTGAAAATATTATAAAAGTGTAATGTATTATTTACATGTTCAGAGGCAGCTGACCAGAAAGCGGCTTCAGCGGACCAGGGACACTCCGGTGTCTGCTCGTAACCAGGACATTTACTGCGGTCCTGTTCTACTCCGTCAGACGAACTGTTACTTCCGCAAAATTTTGTGTCCCCAAGGAAACCTAATAAAATGAAACATAAAGATAACGAACAGTATTTAAGATCAAAAATCCGTAAAGCAATACAAAACAAGAGCAGAGCAGACACGGACCTCCAAAACATCAGAGGTGGGATCAGGTGCCATGGAGGAGAGAGAGCATTCTCTGCCGACTGGTCACACCCGCCGTGTGTTCCTTGTCATGATTGGGAAATAACGGAATAATAACAAGCATTATAATACTTGCTTGTACTTCAGCACATGTATTACTATCAAATACTGGAAGTATTTACATTCTAAATTTACTCCTTACTTCATCGTCATATCTTACTCTTTCCTCTTAGTTCTTTTGAGAAGACTGTAAACGATTTAAGAATTTGGAAGTCATTAGGACTTATTTGTAGAATTTGGCTTTAGAACTGTTTTTGGTAATGTACATGTATACTCACGTTTAAATTGTAAGTTCATTTAACCTCCTAGCAACGAGAGTTATTTTAAAGCATGTATTCATTATTTGAAAGTAAATACGAGGCATTACAGTAAGTGGGAATAAAATTACATGGAAAATATTGCGGGAAAACGGAATTCCTAGGATTTTTTTTCATTGCCACAAAATGTACATTTTCTTACCTTTAAAAGCTTATGATCTAGAATTATAGAAACTTCTTCATAGCTTTTGAGAAGACTATAACGGAAACGTATTAATGCCTAAGAGACCTTTTTTTTTTTTTTTTTTTTTTTTTTTTTTTTTTTTTTTTTTCATTTTTCACTCTTTAAACTATAAATTCAACACTTTTTAAAATATATAAATTATATTTCAATCTGTAAATTTTACGTATTTGTCTGTAAAATATACACATATATCTGTAAATTTTACACTTTAATCTGTAAAATGTACTTTTCTGTAAAATGTACTTTTAGTTCTATCTAAAGTAGTTCTAATGAAAACAAAATTTGATAAAAAGGGACAGTAGGCTTAAATATTTTGCTTATTTTGATGAATAAAACACGAAAAATTCCATAAAAATGAATGGCTGACGCACTTAACATAATCAGCAGAATATTGCCTACATGTGCTTACAATGATGTTATCCGACGATGTATTATTTTACCAAATAGGAAGTAGAGTTCATAAGACTGGACATGTTTGCATAATAAATTACTATATCTGTTATATTGTAGATTAATTTAATTCCGCTTCCGCGTATTGCTAACAGTAACCACATTTTGTAACACCCATCTTCTTTATAGAGCAATTAGCCTTAAAATTCACCAAAGAAGAAGACAGTGATGACTTAGAAACAATGGTTAAATGTTTTACTGATTTGATATTCAAGATCAGACCCGCAGGCTTCTGATACGTTTAGGTTATGAACATTCTGACGAAATTAAACACGGTTTCTCCAACATTTATATCAATAAATTCGGTATTATTGATAATAAATGACTGTCTTTGATTATATCTTTTCTGTTAGAAACAAAGAACAATTCAACATACAGTTTTTGGTTTGTATTTCATTGAAAATTTGTCCCTTGACAATCTGATTTAATCTCCTAAAGTCTTGCAGGTTGATATAGTTTGATGATATACAAAATAGGTCTTTACCTGTAAAGTGTAATGTGAAATGTCCTCCAGATAGAATATTTACCTGTAAGGTGTAATGTGAAATGTCCTCCAGATAGAATATTTACCTGTAAGGTGTAATGTGAAATGTATTCCAGATAGAATATTTACCTGTAAGGTGTAATGTGAAATGTCCTCCAGATAGAATATTTACTTGTAAGGTGTAATGTGAAATGTCCTCCAGATAGAATATTTACCTGTAAGGTGTAATGTGAAATGTCCTCCAGATAGAATATTTACCTTAAGGTGTAATGTGAAATGTATTCCAGATAGAATATTTACCTTAAGGTGTAATGTGAAATGTCCTCCAGATAGAATATTTACCTTAAGGTGTAATGTGAAATGTATTCCAGATAGAATATTTACCTGAAAGTGTAATGTGAAATGTCTTCCAGTTACAATCTTTACCTGTCAGTGTTCCAGATAGAATACCGGTATTTACCTGTAAGGGTGTCAGAGATGGAGAACGTTCGTTTTCCTCTGTTGCTGTACCTCATTACTGTCTCGTACACTCTTTCCCAAAACACAAACTATGAAATATATGGAGATAACAAACAGTATTCAAGCTAAAAAATCCTTAAACAATACAAAGGTGAAGCAGAACAATCAGGGACCTCCAAAATATCGCAAGTGGGATCAGGTGCCATGGAGGAGTGAGCATCCCCTGCCGACAAGTCACACCCGCCATGTGCTCCTTATCATGATCGGAAAATAGCGGACCGACAATTCAATGTATAAATAACGGCCAAACAATTAGTATATAAAAACGTCAGTCAGCATTTCACCTAATGACAAAATATACATGTATGTTGCTGACAAAGTCATTGTATCGACCATAGAACTTAGTAATACATGTACATAATGATCAATTTAACAGGACCGCTGATATTCTTGTTTCAACTTGTTAAAACCTTACCTCGTTTAATTAAATTTAAATTACTTAATGTCAGACGAGACGTTTTGTATATCTTCGTAATGTATGAAAAATATTCAAAATTTTAATAAAATTCTGATTTCTAAACCAGTTTCTAAACGTTTTTAAAGAATCCAAACACTTAAACATTTGAAATTGGAAAATTATTTTTTTCCCCAAAGGATTATATAAGAAAAACTACCCCTGGTATCTTGCAGAAATGCCTGGTAAGGTACCTCAATGTTTTTAAGTAAACATGTTTAAGTAGCAATACTTCAATTACAAACTCCTAGAAAAAAAGTATCTATTATTAAGGAACGTCTCATCTGTCCTTAAATTTTCATACGTAGAACATGCTCTTGCATATTGAATCAACTGAGAGATATTTACCCCGTATAAAAAACAAACTCATATATAAATTTTTCCATAATACAAACTATAAAAAACAAACTCGTACCCATTATCCAGAAAACAAACTATAAGATATGAAGAAAAAAAACAAAAGTCATTTACATTTTTCTAGAACACATTTCGGATTTGTTTCATTAATAATATATTCCAACATGTAGTGAAATTTTTAAAATCAATGTGTTATTGCCTTGCTCATTGTAGATATTTTGAAATCTTTTTCATAGAATTATGTTTCTCAAATTTTCAAGAGAAGTACATTTTTGCTAAACACAATATGCAGAAAACTATGTACATCTTTACCTTTCGTTCTATTTTTATACGTATCCCCCACATCCCCCCGCTTGAAAAGTGGGAGTGTATATATAGTAATCGGTATGTCCGTCCGTCCGTCTGTACGTCCGTTCGTCTGTTACGCTTTGGGGTACCCATCTCCTATCCGCAACTCCTCTCATACCACTGAATGAAATTTGATGAGACTTTCATAGAATCTTTATTACAAATTACCATTTTGCACCTAATATGATCCGACACATATTTTGGGTTTCCCATCGCAAAACATGGACACTGTCATTATATTCAAATGAGAGGCAGGGGAAGGGTATCATTTAGTGAGCTCATTGCTCATAGTACCTCTAATTTCATAGCTTACTGAGTTCAATTGACCAATATATCTTTTAATCCCGAATTTCCCCTTCACAAAACATTGTAGAATTTAATGTATTTTGACGTTCTAGTATTTAATACTCTGACTTCATGGCTCATTGAGCTCACGTGTTCAGTGTCTTACCTTGTTCTTTGGCAAGTGATGCTGACTCGAGTTACAGAACTTGTCAAACCTCCGACTATCCACGTGACAGGGAGACTGGAAGGCAACGGCATCACGGAAGCTTTCCCACAGCGAAGAACAATTTATTTTACTGTGAGTAAAAACAGAATAAAAATGATAACCTGTTAAATTTGATTGCTCTACAATAATAATATGAAAATATATATTATAATAATATTTGCATATTTTATTTGCAGAAATGTGTCATGCCCAATCATTTGAAGAATTCTTAGATTTCTTGAGCTCCATGACTATAACAATGGGTATCATGGCAATTGATCAATACATAGGGCTGTGACTGGTCAGGAGGGGATGCTTACTCCTTGTTAACACCTGATCATGGGGGTACTAGTTTTTCCCTGTTGACGATTTATATCATTTTCTGGATTTAAGGTCAAGATCTAGTAATGTCGTAAAGGTAAACCGTTATTAGAGAAATGTCAATGTTCAATTTTTAATTTGGAAAAAAATGTTATTTCCACAAGTATGGTAAGTATACGTACGCTCTGTGATTAGAATCTATCAACTGAAAATTATATAATTTTTAAGAAAGGAATACAAATATTTGTTCGTTTTTATGACTGCATATAAGTAGAGAGTTTATCATCACTTTCTTGTTTGCATTCCCTAAACAAAAATGGAATATCTAGTAACTTTTGCACTACTGTGAGATGTAACAAATGAAGATAATGGAATTTTTTGGGTCAAAACTTTAAAATTTGACAACAAAAAGACGGATTTAACTCTCCTTACGCAATGAATATTGAAAAAGGTTTATTAAAAATATTCAAAACTTAAACGTAACGGAATCCAAAAAAAAACGATTATATACAGCTCTGACCTTTATAATTCAAACTTGTGTAAGGTATTTAAAACGAATTCACTTGTTGTCAGGGTATTAATCTAATGCTGTAGTTATTAAATGATTTATAAGATAAGTCTGTCTATAGTACATAGAACAAGAATTTAATCATGTAACAGAGTGAGAAAGTGTTCTGTTTATTTTCTATTCCGATATAAGCAATATATGATCAGAGAATGAAAAAAGAAGTGTTTCATAAATAAAAGTATGTAGTTTAAATGTGATTGTGTAATGTGTTCATCGTAATCATGTGATTATTTTATGTAAAAGTATTAAAAAAAACCAAACTTACTCGTCAGTAAAAGGCTGCGGGTTAATGGTAGATTGATAGTAGAGACATTTTCCCACGAATTCCCGTCCCACGGGGGAGAGAGTGAACACCCCGGGTAGGAGTACAGCTGTGATAACCCAGTGAAGCATGGCCAGGGGACCTCAGGCGCTCTCCGCTGCCAGGCTTATCTAAAGAAAGGTATACAGAATACAAGTTCCCTATGTAAATAAATCATACTCTTGTCGTTGTAGGCGATTGTATCTGGACTAGAATTCAAAACCTTTTCACATTTACTTTTATTTGGTCAGAATTATATTTTATATTCATTATTGATAAAAAATAAGCAATACTCAAAGATGATAAATGCATTATATAACTATTAAAAAAATTGTTTTGAAAGAAGACTATCCAAGTTTCAAAACCTTACTAAAAGACTAAAATATGCATCGGTAGATAATATGAAATTCACATTCCTTTATAACTATGAATTTAGCAACAATGATACAAAAAAGCAGACAAACTAGTCAAAACATACCTCTGATAAACCAACGATATCCAGATAAAGTCTCCAAAGCTCTATAAGGGAGTATACTCTGTTGTAATAAGTCGTAAAACTGAATTTAGATCCGTGTTGATTACACAAATACTTCAGTCTACTCATGTCCTGTAGAAAAACACAGATAAAATAATGTTCATATTTACAGATCCATGGAAAACTAAGCAAGAGGAACAGAAAAGCGTGCATGATTTGGCTGATTCAATTATAATACTCCTTTTCTGTGGGGGAAGCTCTGGATTGCTCAAGCACAGAGATTAAGATAGCGCTATTATGTTGAGCAATTCCATACTTTTTTTTTCAATTTTCGGAAAAGGAGGGTCATTTAAAAAGATGCTGTTTCCGAATTATAAACATATTTAAAGATATAAGGCAAATACGTACCTTTGTACTTGTGAATGAAGAAAAACTAGCAATTTTTATGCTTTGGTAAATAAAATCTTAGGATAGAATGGACAAATTATTTATGTTTGTTGCAACAATACAAGGGGAAAAAATGATTTTTTTAAATGTATTTCTTTTACAATTATGAAAGACATGATATAACGTTACGGGAATCGAATTAGGAACCTCGGAATCACTAGCTCTTGCTAAGTAACATGGTCTTTAAAAATATAAATCTTGATTCAAGAAGGAAAACGCTTCTTTTAAAAAGGCCCGATTAAAAAAAAATTAAAAATCTAAAAAAAAAAGATTATCAGTTCGTAAGTTCCATGGTCGATACCATGACCTTGCCAACCCTAGTCCGACCGACTGACTACAATGACCCGATTCAATTTTTTTTACATTCCAGGACGAAATATTTTTTTTCTTTTTATCATTCTTTTCCCGTCAACAAAAATGTTAAAGCTTTCTGGAAAAAAGATTTCTCACCTACCTACCGACCCAATTATTTTACCCCGAGTCGGGAGAGGACAAGCAAACATTATTTTAAAGATGGTCGTGTGTTATTTGTCATCGACGCTATTGAGAAATTATCCTTGCTGAAAGGGTCGTTGAATTCACCATAGAAGTTGCAAAATGATGACTTTAAACAGATAAAATATTTTTCTACCTGGCGCCTACCGGCTCCATTAGTTTTCAGATATATCAACGCTGTGCAATCAATTAACAATAGTTACTTCCATTTATACGTTGGCTCGATATATCCCAACGAACTCGAAATAAAAGACATCACAGAGTCTGTTTCATATTTTATTGTTTTTCTGACTATAGACGATTAATGTGAACTATGAACTAAATTGTGTGGCAAACTAGATGATCTCTGTCGTTGAGTCAAATGCTGACTGACGTTTTTCATACAAATTGTTAGTCCATTATTTATACACTGAATTGACGACCGATTTTTCCGTTATTTTCCGACCATGACAAGGAGCACACGGCGGGTGTGACCAGTCAGCAGGGGATGCTCACTCTTCCATGGCACCTGATCCCACCTCTAATGCTTTGGAGTCCGTGTTTGCTCTGCTCTTATATTGTATTGTTTTATGGACTTTGATATTGAATACTGTTTCGTTATCTCCATATCCTTCATTTAGTTGGGAATGTTCAGGAAACTAAAAATATCTTCTTAAAATTAGCAAAACAATGATTACCCCCGTAGTCAATTTTATGTTCGCATTTCCAAAGATAATAGAGATTAAAGTTTGTTCAGATCATGGGGTATGGTGTAGGGCCGCAATAGCCATAACTCCCTTAGGGCTAAATTTTGCCAAAAATATGTAGTTAAATTGTTTTGTGAAACTAAAGATGGAAGTAAGAAAATTAGATGAAGAAGAAAAAGCAGGATCAAAGTCACTCAGATGAGCGTTGTGGTCCACGGGCCTCTTGTTTTCTTTTATTTGACTTTTTGTTTTAATCCCTTTGAAGGATTTAATATGTTTTTCCTAACTCATTTTTTCTCGCTCGATATTTTTCGTGTTTTTCACCTGCTGCTCAGTCATGTGCAAGTGACTTTGCCACACTTTCAAAGACCCCATCTTCGTTATTTTTATTCTGAAATTTTTTCTGTCTGGGCATCAAAGTGTTCATTATGCATCCCCAGGGTTAGGTTTGGACGGGTTGTCGTGGTTTTACTTTAGTTACTAATCTGTGTAATCAAGTTACAAGGTATCGTAAATACTAAAAAATGTCAGTTGCTTGTTTATTACTTAAACACCCAATTTTACGTCAACGCCCCCAATATCTACCCGATTCAAGAACAATAATTAACTGCCTGCCAATCATGAAAAAAAACAATAGCCTCTGATTTGATTGACAGGACAGCTATTTGTGCTACTTGATAATCTGTATGTTATGGATACAATTGCCTGGTCTCGCCTTAAAAACTCATGTATCGGCCATGTGTACACGCAGGTTAAAAAACCAACTGTGTTGGTATGTATTATTTAAAAAAATAATTGAGAGTAGATAATTAAACATTGGTTTCGTGATTTGTTTTTAATCTTCACGGCTGCATGGTACTTCTAACGATGAAACATGGAGATAACGAACGGTGTTCAAGATCAAAAGCCCATAAAACAATACAAAATAGGAGCAGAGCAAACACGGACCTGCAAATCCTCGTAGGTGGGATCAGGTGCCATAGAGTAGTGAGCATCCCCTGCCGACCGGTCCCACCCGTCGCGTGCTCCTTGTCCTGATCGGGAAATAACGAAAAAATCCGTCGTCAATTCGGTGTATAAATTGTGGACTAACAATTAGTATGAAAAACGTCAGTCAGCATTTGGCTCAGTGATGAATTGTATTTGCTGACAAGGTCATTGTATCGACCATTGTACTTACGAATTAATGAATTTAAACGAGACAGCAGAAATTCTAGTTTCATCAACTTGTTGGTAAATAATTTACCTCTTTTTAGAAATTGTTCATACGTAGAGCATTGCTCTTGCATATCAAATCAACTGAGATATTGGTATAACTCCGTGTGCAGGCGATGAAGGTATATAGCTGCATAAGTAAGGGAAGCTGACGATAGAAAAGTTAAAGTCATCACGTTTATCATAGAGCTGGGTTGTTAGAATACCATTAACGCCTCTTTGAAGTAAAATATCCAAATATGAAACAGATTTTTCAGACTCTGTGGTATCTTTTATCTCAGGCTCACCAGGATATGTATTATCGATATAGGAATGGAAATCACCATTGTTAACTGACAATCCATGTACCTTGCCGATATATGTACATGTCCAGTTGAAGGACACAGCAAGTGTTTTCTTTTTCAGGCGTAAGATTTTGAACAAATTCTGCATTATGTGAATACAAAAATAGGTCTGCTAATAATTGGGTGCAACTAGTACCCATTAAAATTCCAATAGATTGTTGGAAGACCTGGTCTCCGAAAACGACATATATTATAATTGTCAATCAGAAACAAAAGCATCTTTTTTATGTCAATTTTAGAGTACTTGTGTGTGCAATCAGAATGTGTTTTTAACAAAATAAGTTTGCAAATAACCAATGACAAGGTAAGTAAATTTACGAGTTCTATTTTTATTGAAAAGCAGCTGTCAATGATATCAAAAAGCCTGGACTTTATTTATCGTAGGGAATGGTTTTGTATAAAGTTGAAAATTCGTAAGTTTTTAAGCTGTTGATTTTGGTGAAATCTTGTGATTTCAAAATTTTCAAAAGTTCCTTGGAAATTTTAAGTATCCACATCTGATTTACGCCACTTCTTGAATATATTGTTGCACAGTACTCTTGAAGTTTTTCCTTCACTGCTCTTGGTGAGTTCGAATTTCCTCTAACATCCGTCTATATTTGTTTTGAAAAGGTAAAGACAACGAACAATGATCGATCCATGAAAGAAATCTTGCAAACAATAGAAAATTTGTAAACACACGAACACTAAAATGGAGTCGGTGAATATTTTGGACACCATTTTTGACCAGATCATAAAAAAATATTTCTATCGCAGTAAAGGTAGGTAGGTAAATGGAATATTTTAGATTTGTTACATATTTTTATATTTCAATATTCACATTTATTTAGAAAAATATATAGATATGATTGATTTGTAGTTTAAACTCGTGATTTTTTCTTTAATTTTACAAATTTTAAAATATTAAAAATTATTTTTAAAATATTTTTTTTCTTCAAAGATATCGATGACAGCGTTTACTAAAGTTTACAAAAATAGACTTTATATTGAAATATTTGAATAATTTCAAGTAGTTTTACTCAAAATTAGACACGAAACACGTAATGTTGACCTTTGATTATCAAAGACAGACTTCCTGTGTAATGCTACGTGTATATAGATTTTTGACATCTTGAGTATTGGGGGTCTGCAGTCTCCAGGTAGATAACACCACCATTACTAAGACCACTCCCACTCCTCAGGTAACCGTACGGTAAAAAAATTGGGTGAACAATGAATTATATATACCAAGTTTTGACAATGGTTCATCACATTTTAATAATGATATGAAAACTCTGAGCATGGTCGATTGTCTCGTGTTTCTTCTTCCAGGTGAGAAGTGATAGCCTTTAGTTGAAATAATGCAACTTGATTTTCAAATGCTACCGCAAGTTTATTGTCAATGTTTATAGATATGCTCCTTGGGTGGGACAAGTGAGGAGAGAGATGTATTGTTCTTCTCGATGATCCTTCAAAATTGATCAC